CCCGCTGCCGCCCGCGCCCCGCGCCGCCTCCCCGGCCCCTCGAGGCTGCCGAGCGTTGTGCTCGGCGCGGGGGCGGTTGAAAACCGGGCCAYGCGGAGACCCCCCGGCCGGGGCAGGGCTGCCTGTGTCCCCTCGTGGGGCGGCGTTGGGGCGAGGGGTGCTCAGTGTCCCCAGGGAGCTTCGTGCCCCCCAAAACGGCTCTTCGGTACCCCGAGCGGTAAGGGCAGGGGGGCCACGGTCTCTCCATTACCTGCAGCAGCCGGGTGGTTTGTTCACTTGTTCKCTGAGTTGTGCTAAATATCCCAGAGAAAGTTATTTTGTGGGATGGTTCTCACCTTTCATGTGAAAATACCTCTTTTCTGAGGAAAAATGTTAAGTGAAATGAAGCTTGCAAGTGATTTAACAGTGTCATTTATGAAAAAAAAAAAGAAAGATTTTSTGATGATTCAGRCTGTGTTCAAACCATAGTCAAATTTGCAAGCAGGTTTTCCCCACTTTCCTGATTCACTTCCTTTGCTAGTTGGGGAAAGGAGTCATCCGTAGGGTTTGGGATGCTCAATCACACCTATGGAGAGGACCCTTCTTAATTTCTCTCACCTGTGTCTCAGTAGCTCAGCTAGGTATTGTGGTTTTCACAYGCTGTTACTAGCAGTAGTTATCTGTAGAGATAAGTCACTTCAYTTTAAAATGTAGGATTTTATTGATTAAAAAATGTAAGTTGATTTTGTAATGTGCTTAAAGTATTTTAAAAGAATGTGGATAGAATGTACTGTTGCTAGAGGAAAAATATATTTTGTTTACCTGGGGAATTATTATTAAATAAATACATATGGATTTTGAGTAACTTCCTTAGTGATCTAAGCTATGCTTCAGAAACATCTACTGTAGATATTCTTAATGACATTTTATTTAGTTTAATATATATTTTATATTTATAATATATAATATTTACATATTTCTATTTATGTATAATAGTTTATATTTTATTTTATATATTATTTCTATATTTATTTGTAGATATTCTTAATGACATTTTGATAGATAAGTCTAGATATTCATGAATTTTTTCTGGTAGTTTTCCCCTGAAAATGGACGTGACAAATTCCCACCTTCCTGTAATACATAAGTCTAATGCTCTTCTCCTTTGCGCAGATCTGCGTGGTTTCTGTTTTGTTTTGTTCTGTTTTTCCCCAGGTGGGAGTTGTTCGATAGCAAGGGCTGGTGCAGCATCAGCCTGGAGCTGGGCTGCAGGGCACCTCGAGTGTATGTAGGGCTGGCTTGTTTGTAACAGAAATTCAGTAAAATCCGTTTATGTGGATAGTTTTGGTTCCTTGGCTGGTCATCATCTTTTTCGTTTTTCATTGTGAAATATGTTCTTGAAAATCCAGGAGTTGGAGATTGAAATCTTGGGTAGCATTCTTGAGAACCCATTTTGTGTTGTTTGGTTTTGGTGCTAACTTTTACATACACCAGACATGTATTTGCTTTGCATCAGCATAGCCTAAGTAAGACTCATTTTTGTTGGTCCCTTGAAGCCAACCAAGCATGGCTCATCTTTGCGTGAGCATGAAACAGGGCCACTTCTGCCTTAAATAAGAGTGCATATGGTGTAGATCTTTCTTAGTGATATCTGGGCTTGCTTTTTTTCTTCCTTTTTTTTTCTTTTCTTTTCTTTTTTTTTTAATAGTTCCTTTTCTTATTTCTAAGAATACAGTCTTAAGTGGGGGGGGGGGGAAAAAAGAGGAATGATTGATTAATAATACTGTCTTCCTGATCTCCTATGTGCTTGAAAAGTATTGAGTTAATGACCTAGAAAGAACAAATTTAAGTGAGACTGGGTGAACTGAGGAACATGATGGACTTCAGCAGAAGTTCTGTGAAAGCCTTTCTGCCTCTCCTCCAAGCTTTTTAGACAGTTTGAAACGTTTCAGTGAGTTTTATGGAGCACAGTGACCTTAGATGGGAAAGCAGGAAAGCCGACTTGAGTGGGTGGTACTGCAGGAGTCTGTCAGTGATATGTAGGGAGGGCAACAGCTTCCTCTGACACGGTATTTGCCCAATATCTCTTATTCACGAGGGCAACAGTATGAGTCTGTGCCGAGAATCTAGCGCAGATGACAAAGTTTCCCATGATGAGGGTCTGACCCTCTCATTTAATAAAAGCAATTATTTTCAGGACACTTTCTCTCATACGATTCTTCGTGATAATGCCACAGCTCAAGAAGACTTTTAAATATTAAGGAAAATACTGAATGATTTGTTTCGTTTYGGGAGGCAGGAGGAGGTGGTTTTTATGTCCGACTTTTACCATGCTTTCCTGTGTGGTCTGTGCAGCAGCCAGGCAGCTCCTAGCTCAGTACAAGAGATTACAGGCAAGTGCTCTACAGTCACGGCAGGAATGTTGCCTTTGGCAAAACGTAAGAAAAATTCACTTAAGTCAGTATTAAATGTGTCCGGTACAGGATAAACACATTTTATCCAATGTAGGGGCTGAAGAGGAGCTAGTCGTTCGGTAAAACTGGTCCTGAGGCATCAGAAGAGCACAGCTGCTGTATGTGAGCAAGAGGCACCAGGATAYCCACTTGTTGGGTATTTGTACTGCATGCTGCCTGGTCGCTATCTATAGTTTTGTCCAGGCCATAATTTTGTCTGTGTGTGCTTGAAAAGAAGATGTAGGGAGCATAAGAGGGCAAGGAATATCAGCAACAATATCAGTATCTCACCAAAATAGACAAAATCATTTGGTAGTCTCTTCAGAGTACAAGAAAAAAAGAGCTGATATTGGGTTTCCCAGCCAATTTCCCAGCTGTTTACTGCCTCCAACAATGCAAACTATTTTTTCTCTATCTTTAGATGAGGCCTTCTTGGAAAAGCTAAAAAGATATGAGGTCAAAACTCTTCCTTATCTCTGCTCTACAAATGATTAATGAAGACACATCCCAGGTCTAAGAATCATTTCTTTCTGTCCTTTAACTGTCTTATTGCAATGCAGGTCAAGAACAAAGTGTGCTTTATATCAGAGGGTAAGGAGAGTGAATAGCTTTGGCATCAAGGATACATCAAGCAACGTGTTCTACCACAGGTAAAGAGAGAAAGGCGCTTCTGTTTTTTCTTTTCTCTTCTTTCTAAACCATGAGCAGTGAGGACTTCGGCACCGGGCTCTGGCTGAGCCTGGCTGGAGGCGGGACCAGGGCTCCGGGAGGAGCCAGGACCGGTGGCCGTCCCCAGGGTGCCTGTCCCCAGGTGGCTGGCGTGGGCACCTGGCGCGGAGCGAGCGGGGCCAGGCTGCGCTCCTGGGGAGGCAGGCAGGTAAGGGGCTGGTGCCAGCGCGTTGCCACGGCTGGGGACTGTGCCGCTCCTTCACTGTGGCTCTGCAGTTTCTGCCCGGGTTTCTAGGGTGATTTCCCCAGCAGTGTCTCTGTCGCCAGACGCTTGGCTCTAGGGAGGTGCTTGCCAGTGGGGACAGCGGTGGTCCGTGCAGGGGCTGCGCCAGTGYTCTGATGGTGGGGCTGGAAGTGATTTCTCCACCCCTCAGGGCTGGCAGTGGCACCTGGGGAGGCCCAAGAGGCTCCTGCAGGTTTCTGACGGTCGCTGCTCGTTTAGAGAAAGTTTGCTCCGGGGGCTGGACCGTGTGTGCGCACACGGCTATACCCTGTGCGTGCCAGCCCAGAGGCCGGCAGGCCCCCGGAGCGGCGCCTCATGGCACACACAGCTTTGTCTGCCCTTGGTCACAGAACAGCTTTTGTTCTCAGCAGCTGGAAGGTTTGAGCCCATGCAGGATCAACTGTCGCAGCAATTTTCATCCTGCCCTGATGAGTTTAGCCAGGATGCTGCACTTCGTGTGTGAGGMATTGCAGCCTTGCTGGGCTCACTTTCAGTGAGATGCCTGTTCTTGCTTTGCTATAGCTTATGTGTTGGACGGTGCTCACCAGTGAATGGTGCAGCTCTTTGAACAGCAGGTTGTGGTTTTCGTAGTTCCAATAGATGATAGGAAACCAAGAGTATTTTGTTAAGGAGGCAGTAAAGTCTCTTGTCTAAACGTTTTTGTTTTTCCTGGTCAAACATTCCATCAGTCCCTCAAAATGCTTGGGTATACAGCCCAAGTATCATCCTCTTTTTTTTTCCCTCCACCTTCAGCATTGCTTTTTTTTCCATTATGCCCTAGTCTACAGAATGCTCAATATAAATAAAAGCCGAGCCTTCACATCCAAGGTTTATTGCGGAGCCTCCGTGCCCAGGGCACCCTGCCGCAGTGCAGCTCAGCTGCGAGCGCTCGTGGTGCAGCTCCCCCTGACACCGCCTTGCTGTGGATGCACCAGGGTCTTTCTCCATGCAGCAGGAGCAGCAGCCTGTACCTCAAGCCACATTCAAGGGACCGGTTGATGTTTGGGTCCCGTGTCAGGGCAGTGTCATGTGGACAGGAACTGGTGTGGGGCAATGAGAGCAGCTAGTGCCTGTGCAAGGTAGTGCCATCAAATGGCACCTGTTCCAGGCGGATGTGTCAGTGTTTTGTCCAATGCAGTGGATTTCAGTTTATTTTCCTTTGTCTGTTTTGTTTTCATTGTCTAATTTTCAGAGCTTAGGCTGTGGGGTGTGTGAAAGTCAGGACTCTGATTCCTGCTGTGAAAGTGGATCAGTGTCAAGGTGCTGCTAACAGGAACTAGAGCTTTTGGAAGGTGACGCTTTTGAGAAAAGACCTCTAATTACAACTTGTATAGTCCATAGCATCTGCATGGTCATTGTGGAAGAGACCTTTAACACACCAACATGATACAAAATATATCTAAATTACAGTATCTGAAAAAAGTAGTTTATGTTTAATTACATGCCTAGCAATTTGAAAATAGCTTGTATGGATTTTGAAGAGCTAGAAAAAAGCTCTCATATGATTCTTTGATGGTTAAAACAAAACAACCCTCCACCCCCAACTAYATTCTAACCTCTTAGTTGATTTGCTACATAGTTTTTTTTTCCCTGAGGGTCTTTGGTTGCACAAATGCTAACGAGATGACAATATGCTAAGAGGAAGTTAAASTAGAAATTACAAACAGAACAATGCCTTTTTTATCTCAACAGTCCTGAATACCTTTAAAATATTTCTTATTATCTAAAATTACCATGTATATAATTTTCATAACGTGTTCTAATTGAACTTGTGAATGAGACTTGTAACTGATACCTCTCATTAAAGTGTAATTTGAAGCTTGCACGTAAACTGCATGGTGTTTGTTACAAGTACAGAATAAATAACCTTTCTTTAAAGCAAGATTTTGGAACTACTCTAGTAAACCTGGTGTAATAGGCTGCCTTTCGTTGAAAATGAAAAATTAATTTCAAACAGGTATGCTTGAAATAAAACCACTTCTTTTTGGAACCAAACCTTTCTTCTGAATACTAGTAGCTGGTAATGTTGGTTTATAGAAGGCTTTAAGAGCTTGTTTTTTCAAAGCAAGGCTTATATAGCTCTGCTTGTTCCTTTTCAGCCGTTACTCAGTTTTCCTACAGCATTAAGTTGGCAGACTAAGGTTAGAGGTAAGAAAAGCAAAGCAGCAAAGGCAGAGAGATTTGTTATCAAAGGGATCTCTGGGAAAAATGTTTGATAATACAAAATCACTGAGTTACTTATTTCAGTCCATTCAAATAATGTCTGTGTGGGAACCTTTAGGTGAAGGAGCAAGTATTTTGGTAGATTAGGGAGAGTTCTATGAATTTCTCAGAATTAATGAGGTATTTGAACTTTCATCTGCTGCCAGTAAGCAGAAGCTTTGAAGTGTGTGCCCCCACCCTTACRGCTCTTGACTGGGCACCAACGATAAACCAAACTGTCATTGTGGCRGTTTTTGTGAGTGCTTCAGAAGCATGTTTTTTTGCAAAGGTGCCTAAACGCAGGCACTCCTGCCATTTGAGACAGCATGCAAAGGTGAAGCAGCTGTGGACTCTCAGAAAGCTCCTCTGCCTTGTCTAAGCACCCACCGGTGAGAGAAGAGATTTAATTTGGAAACAAAGCAGTCATATGAAACCTTATAGGCTTACTGTGGGGGGTGAGGAATGGGGAAGGGAAGAGGACTTAAGATTTATATTAAATGGAAAGGCTAGAACAAACAAGTAGTCATCATCAGTGGCTGTTATTAATCTATTGATCCTGCTGACGTCAGTACAAACACAATGGAAGCCCAGTGAGAGGCGGCATTTGTCGGTAATTACCACCATTTGCATAAAAGGTAAGTGTCCTTCACTTCCCTGTGTGAGTGTGTGATTCACACTTGTTTCATTGTTAATGTGTTGATTTAAAACCATGTTATCAAGCATAGTACTTGCTTAGCCTCCTGTAGCCTCAGCTTACAGGTTTTTTAGATTTTTCTAAGAGACTTCCTAGGTTGCTGCAGCTACGTCAAAACTGCTGTGAGGGAGATGGTAGAAGAGTAGTGGTAGGTGTTGGGACCTAGTTCCTCGTGCAAAATTTAGTCTGATTTTACCTCTCATCTGTCTCTAAAGCTCGTTTTTGGTTTCAGAAATCAATCTGCTTTTTCACTTAGAAGCAGTGTAGAACATGTGAAACAGGAAAGGAGTTCACTAATAAAAATAAATTAGAAAACAACAGTGAGGAACTGTCCAACCATGCTCTTCAAAATGGGAAGATCTTTATGATAAAAGAACATATTCAACCTTTTGAATAATTCTTCCATGACTTTTGTTTCCTTTTTTTCAACATTAAGTAAACTATGGTGTTATGTTTCCTTGCAGTTCCGGAACTTACTGTTTGCGTTTGTCTTGGCTTCAAGGTTTGTCTAACTAGAATTTGCCTTTTTCAGTCATCCTTACTGAGGCGTAATGGCTTACGATGAGGTAAAGGACTTGAAGGTGTAAGTGACTTTCCAGAAACTTGATTTCGGGCCAAGAAGCTAGTTAAGCAAGACATTTATGTTTGATTTTCTAAAGGAGGATTAGTGGTTATAGGAGGGAATTATCCAAACGGGAACCGATAAATCTATCTAGAATATTTTAAGACTGTTGGTTTGTCATATGAAACCACTTATTTTAACTGGGACTTGGCCCAGAAGCACTCATCTACTTTGTTTGGTGTCCTCTTTTCTCTATCATGACAAGATAAAGGAGTGTTAATGATAAATGGCAAGGGATCCACTCTCAGCCTATCCTGTAACTTACTTGCATGTGGCYCTGAAGCCCACTTACCCAAAGAACCTCTCCGTCTTCTGACAGTTTTGTTTCCTTATCCCTGGTCTCCAGAGGGGGAAAACAAGTTTGCCCGGTTGCTGCTGAAAACCAGAATGGTCCTCTGAGAAATGGACACTACTCTGCCCAAGCAAGATTTGTTAAGCTTCTGCTATTTGTCTTTCCTTCACAAATGACTGTTGTTATCTACTAAGATTTCTTTCATCAATAAAATAACTTTTTAAAAGGGAAGCTAATGCTAAACTTCACCATAGGCCAAAGAGAGGGAAGAAATTATTTAGCTTAAGTTGTTACTTGTCTCTGTCTCTCTCCCATAAACTGTAACTGGTCAAGAATTTACAAAATACTAGTACATTGAACCCAAGATGTTGCCTCTAGCACGCGTGCCTGATCTGCGAGGAGAAGGGTTCCCCATTTGGGGCTGGGAGCAAGGAAGCGGCGCTGCCGTGGCAGTGGTGCCGCTTGGCCGCTCATGCCCATGGGCACACCGACGTGCAGGCACCTGCAGCCACCCGCCCGCAGTCACCGCGGAGCGTGAGGAACCTCACCCACGACGTGGTGACCACAGCCCCCGTCAGGAAGCCTACAGGTTTCTGTGTTTGGGCTGTAGGAACCATTCAAGGCTTGGAATTGCATCTTCTCAGGCAGCAAGGGAAAAGAAGAATAAAATGCAAAGATTTGAATTTGTATCATGCATGAGCAATCTATTTTAAATCCCCCAAACTTTGGAGATGGAGGAAAAACATTTTCCTTCCAGCTCTGGAGAGGCTTCAGCTATTGGACTCCAGGTTAGGCTATAAATCTCCATGTGGATTTTCATAAAAAATCTGGTATAAAATACATGTTAAGTCCTTAAGTCTCAAAGAAAATAAAATAACATTAGAGTCACTGTTTCCACCAGAGGATTCTGTCTGGGGCATACTTGAGTGTGCTAGCCTTCATGCATATGCTTTTGCTCTTCAGAAGGAGTAAGAGAAAGAAGTAATGGAAGTACCTTTAGGTCATGTTAATCTGCATTTTTTTTTCTTCCTGGTTGGCTACATTTCCATTGAGCTGGTTGCAGTTTCCTGCGAGAACATCTCACTTCTGGGTACTGCTGGTTGCACAGAACCCCCACCTTTCCATGAAAACATCTGCTGTCTTGGCAGTTTGCATGAAGACCAGGCGAGCTGGTTGGGTCAGTGGTCAGCTCTGCAGCTTCCCTACTGCGTGGCTGCCTGCCCAGCTTTCTGCAGGGCTGAGCCCTCAGTGACGGACCTGGGTCCCTGGGAAGCCACCTGATAAATGGAAAAATGTGCTTTTTGTTTCTCTTCAAAGAGAATTTAGTCTTCCAGGTGCTTCTTTGTAGGAGACTGTGGGGGTTTTTTTTGTGTGTTTGTTTGTGTTTTGAGAACTGAGTTTCCATGCCTTAAAGTGGAGCATAAGAACAGAATGTTCTAATTCCTAAATACTTTATATGAAACTTCAGAAGTCAGTTCTCAAAAGATCATCGTGTGTTAAGCAGTTTCTGTAAAAATAGAATTTCCCATGATTTTTCATGTGAGACTCTTAGATTTTTGGAGAGATTGTTAGTTTTCTTTGGGAAATAGGGCTGCTAGTTCCTTGTCTCAACACGTGAGAAGTTTTGGTCTGTCTCGGTAGGTATGAGACTGTTTTCAGAAACACACGTCACCTGGGAAAAACTATGTTTATCCTTTGAGCAGCTATGTTTATAGTTTCTTGTTGGCAGGAATCCCATCCCATAATTTAGGCAAGGGATAGATGGTCATAGTATATATTAAAGTTGCTTGGTTTGTTTGTTTTTTGTTACTGAATGTTTGCTGAAGACATGAGCCTAGTTATAACATGCTTTGTTGGGATATAACGTACAGGAAAGTGTAGACAATTTGCTGAGTAAAATATAAAAGTTTTAATTCAATGTCATCCATGTGTATATGAAACATCTCTGCAAAATTAGGACGATGTTCTGCAATTGTATGTCAGACTTTTGCAAGGTCTTTTGCTGTGTAAATAACACCGTAATAATTTCTTAAGTGCTCCGTGTTGGCCTAATGGGAAGCTTTTGAACAGACATTCAGAAAACAGGCATGGTGCAATTGTCCATCCTGAAGAAAATTCCACTCTTATCATAGTTCCTTTACTGCAATAGATACAAAAAAAAAAAAAAAAAAAAAAAGTGAAAACCACTGCAGACAGATTTTTTTTAATTGAAACTGAACTCTTAAATGATATGCAGCCCTTTCTTTCTAGAAGTGGAACTGAGATAAAAGCAAGGGCTGCTGGATGTTTTAGCCAAACTATTTTTCATCCCCATTTTTATCCTTTGTTGTTGAAGAGATTTCTAGCCAATCAAAGTTCACACAGTATCTCTAGTAACAACGCTGACAATTGGTTCCTTCTAATTCTTGCGTATGACTTTTGATTATCTGCAAAAACTCCAGTTCTCTAGCTTTAGATAGAAAAAAAAAATGGAGCTTGAAGTTGGGAACATTCCCCATATGTGTTGTTCAATGCTACTGTTTCAGCAAGCCAGGAAAATCTTCTGTTAAATGAAGATGYTAGAGTGATGTTTCCTTTTTGTCTTTTTGTGCCTATGTGCTTGTTTTGTAATTAGGTCATAATTAATCTTCCCATGAACATATTACTGAAGCAGTAGATAAAAATAAATAAATAAGGAGCTTATCTTCCTGCAAAGCACGGACTCATCATGTCGTATCATTACAATGAAGCCTTTGAAGATCCAGATTACCACTTCTCAGAAACACTGGAGGTGGACAGAGAGTAAGTATGCATAATTTTACTGTTGCAACTATTCCATACCAGAGGGAATTCTGTATTTGTAATGCAGGGTATATTTTCTTCTCCACAGTTTTAATTTGTGGAATTCATTTAATTCCTTCTTTATGCTTCCATTCTCAGATAAAGGTTTCTTAAAGCCTTTCATCAGGGAGGTGATATTCAGGAGAAAWGTTTACTGATTACATGTTATATGAATTCACTAGTTAAATATATTTTAGGATTTATGACATAGACATTATGGGTATATTTCAGTTCCAGTAGTTTTCACAGTGTGCTGTAACCTTGGATGTTCTCATTTTCCAAACATGTAACACCTATATAAGGTGCTAACTTCAGGTGGAGAAAGTTTTTAGTCTTTCCTGTTTAGTTGGTGGTCAAATTAGAACTATGATATCTGAGTTCTCAATACAAGTCTGAGTTTGATTTACACTATATGCCAACTTGATGATAAAAGTTAACAATTAAGGCTATCTGCTCAAAGATACCACATGCCACCTTTCCAGTGCTCAGCTCTTTCCTTTTTGTTGCTCACGCAGGAGGAGTTCTCAGAAGAATCAATTCTCTCTCCCAAACCCCTACAATCCTTCACTGACTGGTTCCTACACAGAGCGCAGTGGAAGAGGGCAGAATTACCCTCTGGACATACCAATGGCCTCCATGAGGCAAGGCTCTGAATACAGCCCAAGTTTGCCTAGAGCAGCAGCCCTAAGCAGAGGTCCATATGAAGATTACCAGGGTATGTCATATTTTCATATACTTATAGAGTTTATAGAAACACTAAGCCAACTAACTGGCCACTCTGTATTGRGGGAGTCCTGCAGCTTTTGAAGGCTCAGTTCTTTGTGTGTCTTTGTATTTGGTGATAGTGTGGGGTTTTTGGTTTTTTTTTTCTTCCTTTTTTTTTTCCCTAAACAAAATGCAGATGTTGTATTAAAAGTTGATCAGTTGAGAAAAGTAAAAACAGACTTTTATGGACTGCATAATTAATTGACTGCTAAGATACAGTTTTTTTTTGTTTTGGAACATGTTGCTCTGTTTGTAGTAGAGCTGTATTTGATTAACAGGTCTCATGTTTAGTGCTTGTAAATAATCCATAGGAGCAGAAGTCTTTCTTTGTAATTCTGGTTACCTTGACTTTCTTTGTAATTCTGGTTGCCTTTAGCGGACAATCTTTCCTTTGAGCCTGAGCCAGAACTGGGATACAGCCACCCACCCACCACCTTCCTTCCACAGGATCTCCCCTATCCTCGCAGGCTTTCTGATGCGTCTGATGGTAAGACATGAGGTTTGTAATGAACCGGAATATTGAATGTCAATCTCACCCTACATAAAACAATAAACATTTAAAGGCCTTCTAGTTGAGATATGAAATTCTTCATATCGTAAGAGGAATCATAAAATATAATTCCTGTTTCACCATCCTACCCTATTGTAGCTGATTTTTTTCAACATCAAGAAAGAGAGAGTGAATTTTCTACATAGTTGGGTTAGAAGTGTCTAGATGCTGAAAATCCAAAAGGTATTTCCACAAAGATGTCCAGATGATTTTTTCATCCCTTTAAATGGTTACGAAGGAAGTTGGTTCAAAATAGAAGTGACGCTAATTTGGGGGGACCAATCTATCTCAATAATGCATCTGATGAAGACTTGCAACATGAACATTAACTAACAGACACATCAGGCCACTCTCCAGGCTGTGTAAACCAGAACACTGCAGCTCAGAAGCAGGATGTAATGTTGAGCAGATGGCTGTTAGCTTGCTATGAAGAAGAGGCAAAGCAAGCTGTGGTCAAACTCATCTGGTTCATAGCTGCCAGGTGGATGCTTTGTGGAAATACAGTCAATAGTATTTGAATAGTGGTATGAAAGAAGGTAGATGCACTGAGTACTGTGAGAATAACAGTGGTTTGATCCTGCACTCCCAGTATCTGTGCTTACTAAACAGTTCGTGTTGTTCAGTTAGCTTTACTCAGAGACGCAACAGAAGACCTGCTGATGAGATCTTCATGCCCTCCTTCAGCCTTTCCGAAACAGACCAAGCGTCTAAAGACGGTAAGAGTTTAGAGAAGTGGTTTAATAGTCTGTACCATCTTGCACAAGGATGATGTGGTTGATACTGTTCTTAATTATTTTCAGAGCTGCACATACAGTTTTGGTGTGGTTATATGAAAAACTTGACATTGTCTTAACACATGCAATGCCTTTATTTTCTGCTAACATGCTGAAATCCTGCAATAAATGAAGCACACTGCTGTGCTAATAAATGTTAAATTATAGAAAGAAGCACTCAACCATTGGGACTTGGCCAGCTAATGAATCATCTTCATCTACTGTATGTCTAGAATCAGCATCAAATTCTAACTCTGTAAAAACAACTTTATAGTCAGTTAGTACAATTTTGCCCAATTCATACTTTGCACTAAATTTGGTTGCTAACATCAATCGAGATTATAGAAAAAATAGGTAATTAGCTTTCAAGTCAATATGTAATTGTTAAACAGTGAACAAACAATAYATCAGACTTCTCGATTTTGAGTATTTTGTTTTCCTTTATATTGAAGCTCTTTGTATTAGCACGATATCAGCAATAGACAAGAGTGACACATATTTTTTAACGTGCAGTATTGTGCTACTCCCATGAATATGTGCTAGAATACTGGTGATACGAGAGAGATTCAGAGCAGAATTACCAAGTTTCAGAACTTACTGTACTTCGTTAGAAGTAAAAATGGGAAATGTTGTTATATCCATTTAAAACTTTATATAAGAACTCATATATTGTGACCATCCTAAATTTTTAATTTTAATGCTTTCTTTGAAGAAGCAAAGTTAATTGGAASTCTTGTGAGTATGTCTGCTCGTGAAAGGATTAAAGCAATCCAGAAGATGCCAGAGACTATGAAAAAAAAGAGAGAGATCAGGTAAAAAAAAAAAAAAAAAACTGTTTACTTTATGGATGATATAATTTTGGTATCCAGTTATCAAATGTGGGTGTTTGCCAACTGCTCAGCCTTCCTTAGTCACTTCAAATAATAAAGAACTGAAATTATTTTTTATTGCGCTTTTAAAAAGTAACATCTTGCAGGATGTTGCTTTTTTYTTTTTCCTAACTGCTATGAAGAACAACTTAAAGATGGTTAATTGTCCTTTCTGTGGAGGTGAAGCAATGCCTTGCTGTTCTGCTTTGTGTTACCATGGCAGATATTATTATGAAAAATTACTTGAGATTTTTATTCAGAAGAAACTTAGTGTTGCATATGGGAAATAGAGAAAAGACCACACGATCTGACCTATCGCTTTATTTCATCACAGAATGTATTTAAATATGTTACCAACAATAAGTTAGTTGCAGATTTAGAGCATGTTGTCATGGGCAAGGGCCGTGGTTTCAACTAATAGAAGACTGACTGAACAGTCTCAGTATTTCATTACGCCTCTGCTGTTTGTGAGCACATGTCCCACTGTATTTGCYGCAGTTTCTTTGACTCTCTGATTTAAGTACAGACCATAACACTTGTCACCCCTTGTCCTGCTCTCCTGTAGAAATAAAGTTCTTCAGGAAATTACAGAAAAATCAAGGAGACGTGGAAATCAACGTGACTGCTGTGCACAGTGTCTACGGAGAATAGCAGTGGTAAGTACCACACAGTTGGTAAATGTCACACAATTCTGTTAGCCATGTAAGCAGCTTAAGCTACAGTGTTGTTACCATCTCCAGAGGTCTTTGGTATCTTGCTTGGTGTTTCTTGCCAAAAACACCTGTTCATTGCTGCAGTGTTTATGGCAACGCTTGGGAAGCCCAGTTAAGCACCTTACAACACACACAGTGTGGGAAACATCTTCCTATCATCAAAAGATAAATGTAGAAAATGTGAGGCTGTGTGAGATGAATTTGAGTTCTGTGTACAGTTGCTTGCTGAGATTGATATTCTCTCTTTCTCTCTCTCTTTCCTCTCTTGCACTTCAGTCATATCGACGATTTAGGAATAGCTTGTCAGAATATTTTCATCTACTGCAGTTGTGGCAGAAGACTTTGAAGGCCATCGGTGGCAAGTTTGGAACTGGTGTTCTGTCTTACTTTATTTTCCTGAAGTGGCTGCTTACTTTCAACATCTTTTCATTCCTCATAAACTTCAGTTTCATAACAATCCCTCAGTTTGTTGCAGCCAAACCAAATAATCTTTCTTTCACGGGTCTGGAGATTTTCACTGGAGCTGTAAGTATATAAAAGCAGATTTGTACTACCATTGTGTGGAAGCAGTTATGCTTTAAAAATCCGTGACAGTGTAAAAACTGAATTATGCCTTCTTAAGAAATGGAGTTAATTCTTATATTACTAGAAAATATTAAGTACATATTTGGAAAAAGAAGCTGTACCAAACAGTGACCCAGGGTAAGATGAGTGGATCTTGTTCTGATGCATATGTTATACTATCAATATTAATGTGTTGAAGGATTTACCCAGTTGATAAACACAACTCTTTTTATTAGTGCTTACTTGAGAAGAGAGTTTTTAAAAAAATGGGTAAGCTTTTCTCACGCAGAATTGCTTTTGAAGTGCTGTTTTATGTAGTAATGCTGTTTGCCTTTACAAAGTAATGCCACCATTGCAAAAGTTCATTTATAAAATAGTAATTCAGTTGATAAACATTGCACATTGCCTTCTTGGATCCATCATAATTGTTACAGTCTGTAGCTGCAGAACTTTGCTCCTGCCTAATAAAGAAACAAATAGACTTTTCCCCCWTATGAAGTTTTCAGGAAGACTGAACGAATCCTGTGATCATGTTGAGTGCTCACCACCATGTTATATGAATCTTACAAGGATAAGAGTCAGAATATGCATCAAGAAGCTCACAGAAACATAGAAGAATTTAGTAAATAGAAGGAAAATGAAGTGCTTGATATTGAGATATTTAATCATACCAGGGAGTTCACAGCAGGGAATGGGACTGCTACCACTCCTATGAATTGAGCTTCAGATGACTGAACTTTGCACTGTATGCAAATGGCAGACGTTCTGCATGATGTTTGTATCTTTTCAGGGTTATTTTCAAGAAACAGTACTCTACTATGGCTTTTACACCAACACTACAATTAGGAAGACAGAAAATAGTGCATCTTACAACATGCAGCTGGCCTATATTTTCACTGTTGGAATTTATTTTGTCATCTGTTTGCTTAGCTTGGTGTTCAGGTAAGTTATATGTTATCTACATGAGATATGTTGTATCTCTTGCTAAGTAAATTGGTGGGTAGTAGTAATTATGGGACACTGACCCAAGAGTGTTTCTGCAAGTCAGTATTTCCACTTGACAGTTCAAGAAGATTCTGCTCAAAAGGTAGGTTGGATGAAGAATAACTGCAGAACAGGAAGGGCCCTGCAGRTAATCCAAGCTCAGACTAATGAATATCAGGATCCCCTTTTTGTAAGCTGTTGCTTCTAGTATCTTCTGTCATTAACGTGGCCTTCCACAGGCAAACATTGTCGCAGTGACTGGGAGACAGAGATGTGAGAGAGTTACTTCTTGCATTAAAACTTACTTTCTTGCTGCAAAGACTTGGTGTATTTCTCTGTTACTCATCTCTCAAATTTATTTTTCACTGCAGCATGGCAAAATCCTTCCGTAGGAACTTCATTAACCCCCAGACATACTCCGGGCAAGCTAGCAAACTTCTCTGCACTTGGGATTTCAATATAACTAATGAAAAAGCTGTGAAGCTGAAGCAAAAGAATCTCAGCACACAAATAAAGGTACAGAACAGTGTAGGTGTGTACGTGCATGTACAAATAAGCCTGTGACAGAGTGACCCAAGCATGACAGTCCTGTACATGCTAGACTTAACAGTTGTCTTGAATGTCAAGTTTGAATCTTTACTCCTAGAGTTGACTTAGTAACTTGTTTTTCTTCTCTTTAAGCTACATATAAATATTTGTATGTATTTATTTAATTTTATGAACCTGTGACTAGTAAGATACTTGTCAGAGTATTTGCTCTGTTTCTTTTTCTTGCAATTTAACTGTTTAATGAACAGAAGGCAAAATTTGTTCTTAGTTGTGAAATGTCATATAGCTGAGAGAAACAACTTTTAGAGTAGGAATACAGAGTTGACCTGTAAATATTCCCAAGTTATTACTGCACCCATCTTCTAAAGAAATAATCTTTCCTTCAAGTACTTCAGGTTTTGCTTCATGCTGTTGGCTGACACATTTGTTTCCCTACAGGAAGCCCTCTTTGAAGTAAACAGAGAAGTTCTGAATTTTTCTTTTAAGGAGAGATTTGTTCATTTTGTTATTCATCTTGCTGCTTGGGTTGCCTCCTTGGGAACCGCAGTAGCTGCTTGTGCTGGTGTTTACTTCCTCTCCATTAATAATCTACAGGTAAGAGCAGATTTTTTAATTTAATTTTTTTTGGATGCATTTCTCCACTTGGTATCCTAGACTGAATGCAAACAGTGGACTGTTCACAGTTAAGGCAGTAGGAAAGCATAGCTGTCCTTTGTGCTGATGCACACAGGCTCTGCTGTATCTGAAAAGGGCTCATTTGGAAAGGCACACATTGTTGGGTATCGTTGGGTACTGGATAGAATGCAGGATCTGAGCAGTCTGAGCACATTCTCCCCACCTCAGGGGTTTGACTGCATGGGCTTGTGGCCAGCTTGGAGACAGTGCAGCTAGAGGTCTTGGAAGAAACAGAAGGTGTCTCAGCAGGGCCTTTCCCTCCTTTACTTTAGAGCTGCTTTTAAGCTGAGACTTAGAAGATTTGGCTTCCTGGCTTCACCTTGGATCTGTCCATCACTGCGGTGGTTTGAGTTGTTGGCTGACCCTGGCTGCAGTCACTGTACCTGTTTCCTTTACCCTGCTCAGCTGCTGGGGGACGCCTGTGTCAGTGAGGGCACTGCCTCTGCTTCACTTGTCCTCTGTGACTCAGCTTAGACCTTCCCTTGCAGAGCAGCTTGACTGTGCTGGTCCTTGACATTGTCTCACCTTGCCAAGGTCCCATCTGCTGGCACAACTCCTCCAGTAGCTACTTCCTGGCCCGGCTTCAATGATCTGTGATAGCTTTTACACTTGTAAAATAAGGTGTTACTAATGAACATCCTCCTGAATGACACACCAAACACTGCACCAGCAATAAGGGAGCATCTGTGGGTGGATTATGAGCAGTAACTATTCCATCAGGCTCAGCACAACCAGAGGACTGAACCTCGCCCTCAAAGGCAATCCTTTGTGTAGGATAAGAATCTTAACAAAAGACATGCCCTTTGGATCTCCTCATCCAGGAATGTACAGAGAAGTGTGTCCTTCTGGACACAGTTTAAGGTAGTATTTTACTTGAGGCTCTGAGGTTTTTGTTTATTTGTTTGTTTTTTCCTCCTCTCAAAGCTGTTCATGAAAGGACATAAGAATGACCTGGAGGGTCAAGCTGCCATGTTGGTGCTACCCATCGTTGCCTCTCTCCTCAATGCATTCATCCCATTCTTCTACTCATGGCTTGGGCTCCTGGAGCACTTTCAGAATCCCAGACACCAGATATACGTCACTGTTACCAGGTATTATTGCTATGTCCTCTTAGTGCTTTTGGTTTAGTGGTTGACTCTCCTTTTTAAGAGGAGACTGTGTCTAGGTGGGGTGTTTTTCCCCTCACAATTGGGCATGCTGTGACACTGGTCTTGSCTTTGTAGCTTCTGTAGATGTCCAYTGTGCTGTGGGCATCAGGGGAAAGGAGGGAGAGTGAAGAGGGATCTCACTTCACCACAGGTGCCCAGGTGTAGCACTGCATAACCCGCAGTGCCCCGTGGGCCTTCCTGCCCTGTGAAGCTCTCCACCCAGGCAGGGGCCTGTGCCAAGGTTGTCACGACCCGCTCCTTTTGCGGCAGGACAGCRGAGCAGTGTCACACCTGAGCTCTGAGCGCCTGTTAGTCCTGGCACTGTGCAGGGTATTGTCAGAGTAAAAGGAGGTGGTCATGTGTGACCTGTGGTTATCCCACCACTGTTCCTTTCAATGGGCTTATGAGCCAGCAGTCAGTGCAGTTACTGTTACTTTTTCCTTCCAGAAATATCATCCTGAAAATATCCATCATTGGAATATTGTGCTACTATTGGCTTAACATTGTGTCTGCATCAGAGTCACAGGTAAGGTTTTAAAAATATAATTCTTTGGCTTAAAATATCAGCTCAGGAACCACTTTGATAATAGACTTCCACCAGCAAAGCAAAATACATGTAGTCTCTTGTACAACTGGATTTGCCTTCCTGACATTTCTTTATTAGAATCTTTAGGAAAATAACTGTAGAGGAAAAAGAATAGTTGCCCAACTTGAATTTCAGCTTATCTGAAGCAACACTCAAAGAGAGATCAGATGGGGTTAGTTAGGGTACTACCAAGACTTGGACTGGAGCCTAGGCTTTAGACAGATGCCTGAGCATTAGTGAAGGATGCTCAAGTTATGTGTTTTTTGACTTATGGATATACTTGTACTTTTTTCCATGTTTTTTTTTTTTTCTTCTTGCAAAGTGCTGGGAAACTCTGGTTGGCCAAGATATCTATCGACTTGTTCTGGTTGACTTCATATTTTGTTTGCTTGGCTGTCTCTTTGGAGAATTTGTACGAAGGTAAGTGTTATTTTCTTAAATTTTTGTTTTTATTCATAAAGACTGATGCCAAATATATATGGTCCTTCCTTCCTAATGTGAGAAAAGGAGAAGTACAACAAAGATGTGTGGGTGGCACAACTGATGCTTCCTTGGTTGTCTCCAGCAAGCCTGGTCTCGAGGCACGTGCCATGGCTATGTGCCTGCCATGGTTTCTTACAACGAGGCCAGAGTACTGTTCTGCTCTCCCAGTGTGTCCTCCTTCCCCTTGGATGGAAACCAGGCCTGGAGAAAGGCACAGTGCACTCTGGTAGAGATCCTGGATGGAGTGAAAAAGGTCCTGGAATTGAGCGATGGACAGAAAACACTACTTTTCTGTAGACACACAGAAATGCTACTGCTTTGTCTTAGCATGCCCCTTTGTATTTTTTTTTCCTCTCACTTATATCATTTTACAAAGTGCACACAAGTTCTGAATCTTTATTTTAAAAAGCCTTCATTAGGATGTAGCATGGCTTCCAATGTAGAATTTTGTACTCTGGTAGGTAAGGAAGGGTTTCTTTTCTCATTTCATGAGTAAATGACTCTCAGAAGTCATTTACTTCTGAGTGCATTCCTTTCTACTGCCAGACATTATTTATGAGGTGAGACTGAGAGCACTAAATGTTTACAAGCATTTAGAGTTCCCGGCAATACCTGTAGGAGGTCCATAGTCATTGTTTGCCCTTTCCATACAGTGAGCACAAGGCTGGCACGTAAGTTAGAACATTCATGTTAATTAAATAGCAAACAACATTGAGAAAACCTTGAAGACTCTTTCCTGCACAGCTCTTCCCTGTAATCTGTGTCCTCGTGCTGTTCCGATAGGAAGCCAACTCCCAGCAGGAGGTTACGGTAAAAGCTGTGGTGTCAGCAGTGATGAATGTGTGAAGGCACCAGCCTTATGGCCCCAGGAGATTAGAAATACAGTTGTGTTGATGTGTTCAGAGACACACCCAGCGTGCTCAGCACAGAAACCTTGTTAATGGTGCAGCTGGGCAGATGGTACAAAGTCTGATGTTCAAGGAAAGATGAAAAACACACAAAAAACTAAAAAGCAGAATGTGAATCTAGCTCAGAGAAAATGAGATATTAAAGTGAAAATGTTGGTCCTCAGCAGGAAGCCTCTGGGTACTTACTTACCTGTCTGTATCTCAAGTTACTTGGGCCCTCACTTAGTTTAATGTACAAAATGCTTCAGGATATGGTGAGAATATCATCCTATAAGATTTTCAATTGAGGGTGAGATTTTTTCAGGACTCCAAAACTGAAAGTACTGGAGTAACTTGCAGTTTCAGCTCTTTAACCAGAAAAGTATGTTTACGTGTAGCATTTTATATGTTTACGTGTAGCAGTTTATATGTGTGTGTATACATATACGCACACTGTGTGTGTATATATATATAATAGTATATATATATATTATATATATATATTATATATGTACACACTATATATATTCTTTGAAAGTAGCATAAAAATATCCCAGGTCTTATTCCATTATTTTATTGTTTAATTTTTGATTTTCTGTCCAATCAACAAGCTGTGCCTGCATTGCAAGATGTAGTGAATGAAGTCACATGAATAATTTGTCACTTTTGCCAGTATTCAGAAGCTTCCTTGCACAAATTTCTACAGAGGGTTTAATCACTTAATAAATGCTATTRTACCATTATTTCTTTCCCCCCAGAATTATTGGAACAACAGTCTGCGTAAACCTGGGGATGCCAGAATTTGATATTGCACGAAATGTTTTAGATTTGATCTATGCACAGACTTTGACCTGGTAAGTGGTGAATTTATGGCCAAAATTTTGACCCTTAGTTATACCACAACACATCCTGACTGGTGCTTTTATGAATGTTTTGCATCTTGAAGGAAAGAACAGAATAAATATCTGAGACAGTATATAAAGTACCTTGTAAATATTGTTACTTGCCTGTTTTCTTTGTAGTTATGCAGATGATAGCAATAACTATTCAGAATCCAGGCAAATCACCTGTAGTTTGGYTTCTCTAGGAGAAAGTTGTGAAAGSAACATCGTGGAATTTTGCTTACTTCCCCACTGGAAGAGTGTTCCTATYGAAACAGTTTCAGTATTAAACACTAAAAATAAAAAAGCATCATTATTTCTTCATTACTTCTAAGAATGTGTATGTTACCAAAATTATAAGAGAATTTTGCAGGCATGTATGTACCTATATCTATATATTTGGTTTGAATTTGCATAGATTTAAAGGTTAACTTACTGATACAAGATCAGTGTTAATATACCTATATTTGCCAAACCCTAGCTGTATAGAAATGTTTTTAGTGCAATAAGCACTGTGCAGTGAACACTGGATATTTAACTTTTTTTTTCTCAATTTTTCTGTATCCTTTCTGATAGGATTGGTATCTTCTTCTCRCCTCTGCTGCCTGGTATCCAGATGATAACATTTTCTATAGTATTTTATGTGAAAAAGGTAACAAGCTTTACATGCATTCGTCATAAAGAACTATATCTCTGAGAGCACTTGGCCTCTTAGCGGGGATGAATTGGTTTGAAGTGCTGGGCCTCCTTGGAGGCTGGGAGCTTTGGAGTGTAGGGAGCAATCTGATTGGTTGGGCTTTTTTTTTGCTTTAAAAGAGCAAAATTTAGATGTACACGCTCAAGTTACAAAACTTGAGAGGGAAAATGTAGAAGGGTAGGAGGAGAGGTTAAGAGCACAGTTAGGGAAAATAATAGTGGAATCAAAAGCTGAGGAAATTAAGGGGTGTCCGTGTATACGTGTCTACGCAGACACAGTCTGTTGACTTTTCTGTTCCCTTTTCTGCCCCAGTAACCTAAATCTTAACAGGGTGATTCCGATAAAGATCACRGTGCAATTTTCTTCTCTTCAGACTTCTTTTTCTTAGTAGATAATAGACTATTTATTAGATGGTTAGGTGATTTGTAGCACTGAACGTACACCTGGAGCAAAGCTATAACTAGAACCATGGATTTTGGCTTCCCTGAACTTGGTTTGTGTGTTCTGCAAACACCACCCCCCATCAGAACCTCACTTTACATTGAACCATTTGAAAGGCTGTACTCTTGAAGTTTTTAAAAACTACAGTATCTCTCAAGTCCTTACACAAGAAATTATTGAAAACAATGGTATTCCAGCAGTTGCCTCCAGAAATTTCTGGAGGATTGACTTAAGCCCACCTGAAGTGGCAGGTGACACTGGGCCAAGGCTGAGTGTGTTCCCATCTCTTTAAAGGTCAGTCTGATGATGAATTGTCAGCCTCCCCGCAAGGTCTGGAGAGCTGCTCAAATGACAACATTGTTCATCTTCCTACTCTTCTTCCCATCCCTTGTGGGAGTCCTGTCTGTCATTGCAGTCACTGTCTGGAGGTAAGTAAGAGCACCGACGATCAGGYTTGCCATCTTACACGTTGATTTGAAAACAGGGAGAAGAATCAGTGGTTTTCCATGTATAAAAGATAAATCCTTTTTAATTGCCTGTGAAACGTTTCAAACGTTCATGAAATGTTCTGTATTCTCAAAACAAATCRTTCTCAGTTTGTAAGAATGTGGTTAGTGTAGTGTGTAGGATATATGGGAGTGTACGCTGTCTCAGAAGAGAGTGGGAGGAGAARCAAAGTTGCACTGAAATTTTGGGTTCCTTTTAAATGTCGCAGAAAATTCTTTGATTTGGCTTTTCTTCCTCAAAGCTTTCTGTGACTGAGCCTGTTGCATTACAAGCCATACTGAGTCTGTAGGGAAGAAACACCTGGAAAAACTCAGTTCAGTCAACTTCTGGATTATTTCCAAACTTCACACGCCCTTTTGGCAGCYGGTGCTAAGCAATGATGCAGCTTGGTAGTTGTCAGTATTTTAAAACTACATTGCTTATGTGTATATTTCTCTGTGGTCATATGATGTGGTCATACAACAGAGATTCCTCTTTTTCTTGACRATTCTCAACCATGTGAATTTGGTATTTAGCGAGACTGGTGACTGTATCTGAAAACAAGGACAATGATATACTTCAGAACAAATATCTCCAGATGCGAAGTGGGAGTTTCAGACTCTTGAACTGGCTCAGTCTCAAAGCAACAATATTTTACTATTTCAATTTGTCTGAAAACTTTCATTCTTGCTGTGGGCTACCTTTGCCACATTCTGTTGTTGCTGAAAGTGCAACCCTGATAGTGACTCAGGGTCTGGAAGGCAAGGTGAGATGGTGATTTTATTAAGGATATGTGATGCAACTTGGAAAATTCAGATTTTCAAATTCCTATAGCCTATGCTATGTTGTTACTTCTAGGTTGTTACATTAGACTTGCTGTATTTAGGTCAGGATTACCTTTAAAGGACTGGTACTGCTSCACTGCATTAGAGTCTCTGATCTTTTACTGTATAGACCAAACAGAGTGTTTTAATGGTCAAAATGTCACTTCGGGAAACAAATTGAACGTAGATGATGAAAGTTCCGTAACACTCAAAGGAGACCAGAGGACTATAGCAAACTAAMAAGCAACTTTATGTGCTCCATATTTAAATCAGTGGTTAGTACCTGTGGTTAGTACCTGAAGCTTTAAATGTCTATTTTCTCATACTTTCAGGTTAAAACCTTCAAAAGAGTGTGGCCCTTTCAGGGGTTTATCTTCTATCTATGCTGCAATCTCTGTATGGATAGAAATACTAAAAAATTACCCTGGCTCAAAATGGGTAGTGTGGATCTACCAAAATTTATTTCAAGGTGCACTGTTCTTCTTCATCCTCTCTACAATTCTCCTGTAAGTACCTGCTAATGAAAAGCACTGGAAAAGAATTTGATGCAGAAAACCTGGCAATGTCGTGGGCAGTGTCTACAGTGAAATTGCAAAGTACATCTCAAACATCAGAAAGCTCATATATTGGAAATTCATGTATTTAAAGTGTATGAAGAAGTTATAAAAAATGTTCCTTTCATGTTAGGATCCCAAAGCTCTTTACAAACCAGCTTCATGCAGACTCTGGGAGATAGTTTTTGACTGAACTTTGTTGATACCCAGGCTTCCAGATCTGTTATCACTGCCATAGTTATCATTAAGAACATGAGCAAAGAGAAACATGCTGCATATAGTTTGCAGGATAAATTGCCTTTTTTTTTTTTTTTTTTGGAGGTGAATAAATCAATAGGGAAAGGTCCAGCTTTCTTAGGCACAGGTGAAAAAGATGAGGTCTGTGCTAGAACTTTCTTCCAAAATACAGAAGTTCGGGGGTGATCACTTCGTTTTTTCACAGATTACAGGGATACTGTGGAGTGTTGTAGCATGTTAAAGTTGGCACACCATATGGGGAGTGCTAAGAAATAGTCTGCAGTCTGTTTCCAACTAAACATAGATAAATTCACATACCATCCCCTAGACCAAAGTAATATATTTTGGCAAAAACAGTATGTCTTTATGTAAGATATGTGTCCCTTAGGAGGGTTTGTTGCTGTAGATGTACTACTTGATCCTTCTAGCATAGGATGGACCTTGCACATCTAAGAGTCAAATGCTGTTCTCATAAAACAAGAAAATTTCCACCTATGTTTGGTGGATCTGGGATTTATCTGGAAGCAGTAAGTTTTCAGTGTTGTGGCTTAAGTCCCCGTGCCTAAGTAATTGATACAAGGCGGGGTAAGAGCAGCAGGTTGAAATATGTTATCAGAGATGCACCTTGTACTGTTAATCTACTTTAATTGTGTGTGACCTTGAATCAGAGCCCATAAAGCTTTACATCTGCTCCCAGAAAACATCATGGGTTTGCTCACGGGCTTTGTTCACAGGTTTTTGTAATGAGATAGATATTTGGTATATAAAATGAAAAAGAAAGCTTTCCGCTTAGGCAATGTCTGGGAGGAGATGCACATGCATGTGACGTGAGTGCTCATCTTTTGCACTTTCTCTTCTTTAGAATTGTTACATATCTTTACTGGAAAATAATAGAAGGAAGAAAGAGCATGGTCAAGCTCTTACGTAAGCATATTGTCAATGTAAGTTTGACTTGCAACTTTGGCTTCTTTGTTGATTGTCTCATCCTCCTGTAGTGCAGTTGTAACTTTTCCTATGACAGTRTGGGAGAAAGGGGAAGCCCTCCCTTGTTTCCCATGAGATTTGCAGGATACTTAAATCACAAGCAAAAAAAAAARAAAATTTATAGAAAAATAATTTTACCTTCAAGCTCAGCTACTGTCACTTTCTTTGCAGATACATTATTCTGGAATAAAAGGAATTTTAATGATTATTCTGCTCAGTGGTTACTCATAGATGGGCCTTGAGCATCTCTCAAGAATGGTTAGTGTATTCCAGCTAATGACCAAATGCATCTTCTCTATAGGTAGGAAAAGATAAAATGTTTTTACTTGAAAAACTACGGGGACTGCCAGCAGCAAGACAAAACCTATCTGTGCCGAGAGGACAAGACCGGCAGGTCAGTTGGATAGTTCACATGCTACTATTTTAATTACTTACTTGTTATGATTTTGTGGGATTCCTCTATTCTTGTAACTAGGCAGTCATTTTGGGATACCTTATACTAAAAACCTTAAAAACCTGCATGTATCTAAAAACATACAGCATAGACCAACAGCATCCAGCCTTACTGCCTGAGCTCTGCTCTTCCTTTGCTAACTGGACCTTATCTACTTCTGTTTCATYTAATTATTTGTTTATAAGGTCTCGCAATAACAGCTAAATTGCATAGTTCTTAAACCCAAGAGACCAGTCCACAAACAAGAGGGGTTTCCAGCAGCAGAGTGAGAACAGGACCTTGAAAACTGCCACCTGCAATTCCTTTCTGTGTGCATAACAAACACGAGTGAGTCTCTTCTACCTTGGATCCATCTTCGCCATAGCTGACTTCAGGAGCATGATGCATCTCGCTAGATGATCTAACAGAAGGTGCCGCTCGGTTGGCAGAGCGGGGAGGTCGTGTCCCTGCGTCACCACGAGATGGAGCGCGAGGCTGGCACAGCCTCTGCTTGCGCAGTCTCTGGTCRGAGCTCAACAGGAGGCTTTTCTGACCATTTCTCAGCAAACAAAGACCCCTCCCTGTGCTGAGATCTCTGCACAGGCTCTCTCTTCTATTAACRTCTCCAGATTTGCTCCATTGTAGTGATCTTGACGTCCCTTTCAGTACTGTCAAACAGTACAGCAGCTGAAGCAGCTGAGGTAGGAAGAAACCTCAGAAGGTCATTTAGGAACCTCTGCTCGCAACAGGGCTAAGCAGATCAAGTTCTAATATGCAGCACTACTTGGCTCCAAAGGAGAGGCTTTGTCATATTTCAGCCCACAATGGAGCCCTTGGCTCCATAGGACAGTCTTTGGATTGTCCTATGCTAGAGAAACCTCTTCAGGTTAAATGAAGGGACTTAACATCGTGAATTTGTAAAAGAAGGAGCACATTGAGGCCCATGGTCTTATTTCTCCTTCAGTTTGTTTTCAGTTGTTTTTTTTTGTTTGTTTGTTTGTTTGTTTTTTCCAAACACAGACTGACTCCATAAGTGTAGAAATGTAGCAAAACTAATCTTAACAAGACACACAAACACAAGTCAAAACAACCAAACAAAAATGGATTCCACCCACATGACTGACATTGGATTTCGTGGTACTGGGTGGCATTAATGCTATCCAAACCCTGAGTAAAAGAAAATACTCTTGACTGTAAAGTGAGAAAGCTTGAAGTAAATAAGCATTGTCTTGCATTTGGAGATTTACAGATATTAGAGAATTTAGATATTCCTATACTTGCTTAGGTTTGATTTCAAAAGGAAATGACAAAATAACTGAACTCTAGATCTAGTACAAAGGACACATCTCTAAAACAAGGAGTAACARCCTTTAAGTTGGATACAACCAAAAAGTCACGGTTGGAAGCCAGGATATATTTCTGCTAATGTCAAGTATTCTCTTTCAGAGAAGCTCTGCTTCAGATCGTTTATCTATGCGACCTGGCCAGCACATGCCAAGCTACCCAGAAAGGACATTTGACAGAAATCAAAATGCATTCCATGAGGATGAGGTGAGATAGCTGAAGAAGGAAGTCCCTGCGTGAGCATGATATAGAGAACAGTAATATGTTRGACAAATACAGTAATCTAGGAGAGAAGGACCTGAAATGACAAGTTAAGCTGAACAAGTTATACCTGAACTGTCATCAGAATGTCTTTGGAATAGCCATGTTCTTACAGATCTGCTTAGATCTGTAGATCTGCAGATTCTTGAGGAAAGGATATCATTTTGTTACTGGTAACTGGTAGCTTTTTAGATAAAAGATGATAGGCACAAGAGGAAAGTATTCATGTGAATCTGACTTACGAATTTTATTTTCAGTTTTCCTATTCTCCTGAGATCTTGGAGGGAATTGGCCTTCCAATAGGTAAGCAACAAATGCTGGCCACAGAGAAAGCAACCCTCAGAAGTTCAACTCAGTATAAATGTTTGATGTGGTAGACACACAGAATATACTAGAATRATATAATAGACATAGAATTTTATCATCGTGGGTGAAAGGAAAGCAAAAAGAGGGACCTTCTAGGGCCAATGTCTTCTAGCAGGGAACACTTATGGGTAGTGTGCTGTGATGGGGTGGTGCTTCTGCAGCCTCATCACTAGCTCCTCACAGCAGAGCGCTGAACTGCTTTGGGTAAACGAGGCACTTTGCGCTATGGCAGCAAGGAAGGCAAGACTTGCATCCCGTGCAAGTGGTTATTAGTGATGTACAGTTCCTAGGACACCCTGGGTCCTGAGTAAAACCAGCTATGGAATCTTGCCTGATGACTTCAACTACTTTGTTTACACAGACATCTTCATTCTAAATGCTGGTCRGATCAGATGCTTAAGCAGCGTGGAGTTTTAACCAGCGGGTGGGTGGTTATTAGACCTGCGCCCAGCAAGCCTAACAGCACTTCCTTTGTGGAAAGCAGATGCAGAGACATCCCGGCCAAGCAGCAGGACGGGGATGTCGGAAGCACTCGCGCTTGCCCTGCGTGCTCGACGAGCAGCTGAAGAAGACGATGATGACCGGGATTATTGACCGTGAGCGCACCGAATGAACAGCCAATGTTAACAGTCACAAGCTACTTCTGCAAGAAGTGACAGTGTTTTGCACTAAGGACTGGAAAAACATGGGGGAAAAAAAATTGTTTTTTCCCAAATGGAATAAAAATCCAAACATTAGATTGCAAAATGCACCCTAAGTGTAGTTATAGGGCAGGTTTGGTTTGGAAGTAGTGTGATTCTAGCGATCGTAAGCCTTCACCCAGGATTCTACTGTGTCAGCACAGTAAAGGCGCCTCCACAGTTGTTCGTTCATTGCTGACTAAACGTAGACAACCTTGTGCCTAATTGTAAATAAAAACTTTGGTCTGAAAGTATTTTTATATCAATTAAATAGTGTGAACTACTTTTAYATGATCTAAACAAGTATTCGTTAAATAAAGAGGATTGGTCAAATAAAGAGTAAAATTAAATGACAGTTATTTTTAATGACTGATACGTTGTAATGGCTGCAAAATAACTTGTATGAACCACTMTGGAACCATCTGTTCCATTTTCACTTTTTATAACTGTTACTACAACCACTCAAAATGAGTTTTGATAGTAGAAGCTTTTCTTAAGGATGACTATATTTTCAAAATTCTGTTTTAAGTGCTTGTAAACAAAAAGTCTGTGGTGTTTATCCTTCCAGTGAAGGATGGATTAGAAGTAACTAARCAGATACTTTTCATCAGATGTGGCTTTGAGACACTTGTTGTTGCTTAAGATGGATTATCTTGAAGGAGAGGGGCACATCTCTTCCTCAGGATCATAATTTGGTTAAAGACAACCCAAAAATAGCTATTAAAGGTATAGAAAAAAGGACATTTACACACACTATAAGTCCAAAGATTAAATTTTATTAAATTTTGCTGTGTACATAGCAGTGAACAYTTGTGAATGGGCCTTGTGTTAGCACTGAGGATGGTGACTGAGTACAGCAAGATGGGAGAGGCAATGAGAAGAACTTGGAGGCCAGAGCTGCCCGCCCGGAATGCGGCTCCCCGGAGCCACAAGAAGCGGCTGGAGGACGCAGCAGCGAATGCAGATTTGATACATGGTGGGCACCAGAGCACTGAGCAGAGGAGTGTTGGTTCTGCAGTACGGGGTGGACGAGCGACATGAGGAGAAAAGGCTCCTGATCTCSTAGCGTAGCTGCCTCGGTGTGTACAGCACTCTTCCTTGCTGCTAAATATCTGCTAAMTATTTGCTATCTGAGTAAAAAGAARTCACCCTCCCTTTGCAGAAAGGCTAAAAATCCTGGCACTTGAATACATGAGTAAACAACTCATTGTTTTAGAAAATGTTTGTAATAGCTATTGCTGTCCATGTCTRTTTGGCCCATCTACAGCAACTCTATTTCGGTGGTAGCTCTTTAATTCCAGATCATATTTGTTCTTCTCATCAACTCATTTGATCATAATCTTACCCTTCACTGCTCTCTTCCAGGACAGAGTAAGTACAGTAGCAAATAGATAATCCTCATRGTAAAAAAGATTTTAAAAGATTTCCTCATCAGACTGGAAAGTAAGAATTTCTAAAGCAGGGCATGCATGCACTTTGCAACATCACTGTCAGCTGCACTCAGGAGTATTGCCTCACTGTGTGAGGGGGCAAATGCTTCTCTCCTGCCACTAAACTTGCTTTAAATGGGGCAATTGTTTATTTTTTCCACCGTTCACTTTATTTTCAAAACGATTCTTTTATTAAGGTTGATTTTAAATATTAGCTGGCTGTGTGAAGTGCAAACTAATTCTCGCTATGAGATGTATCATCAAGAGCTGTTTAAATGTGGTAGCTGTGTACTAAACTGTACCACGGATCCACCTGATCTGCTCTCTGGCTTCTTGCAGGTGCTGTGCTCCACCAGCACGTTAGGAAGCGCCCACCCGGTGTGCAGTGCAGATCTAAGCTGCAGAGCAACAAGGCCTAAACAAAGAAGGTATTTAACAACACACTAGTACAAGACAGATTTCTGCACCGTGATTACACTTTCTACTCACTCCTGCATTGCTACATGTGGCAGTTGAAAGGTATCTTATGAGATTACACCTCAAACTGCAGCAGGTAACCAATCACTTAAATGTTTGAATCACTTATTTATATTGAAATTAGCAAATTAGTATCTTGTTTTCCAAAATTATTTTAGTTATTTGACTTRATAAAATTTCCATGAATTTGGGCTAAGAAAAGCTGCTCTTGCTAACATTGACCATCTTCCCCAACTACTAGCTCCCTCCAGAGCAGAGTTGTCAAGGGAAAAAGGTTTCACTGATTAGATATTTAAAAAAATCACGCAACCTTTCTTGCACTAATTTTTGGGTACTTCAATCAATCTGCTGATAAGCATCTAGTAAAATATACAGTAACCTTGAGAGTACAAATGCCTACTTGCTTATTGTAAATACTTGACTTCAAATTAATTCTGGATGACAGATTCCCACAAATCCTTGTCCTTCAATTGTGCAAACAGTTTTTCAGCCAACTAACTACAAAAGGCATTTCAGCTCTATTTGCTTTACAGCTAGCACCACTCAATATAGAGCTTTCTTTTAAAAAGTAAATACATTCATGTGTGCTACTATTGGAAGGAAAGATTTTCTGTCCTCCTTTACTTCTTTTAAAAAGACCAGAAAGTAAGAAAATGCTCAAGTTTTAACCATTAATGCTCACAGTCTTTACACTGAACATGAGAAGCTGGCTTTTACTTCCTTGTTGGGAACACAGCTATCCTTCCATGCAGCAGGAACTCACTTCAGCATTATTATTTTCAGGTTTTGTTTTAAGAACTGTAGCATAGATGCTTTTCAGATACCACAGACACACCTCAAATTACTATGTCGCTGCAGGGCAGATAGTTTAAATTACCAGAATCAAGGCATGATTTTAAATCATACTATGAATAAAATGCTGATTTGACTTTATAGCCAAGATTTAAATAAAGCAAAGGAATAATCAGAAAATCATACATCAATCTGCAAAGATCGCTTGATACCTAATTAAATTGTCAAAATCCTTCTGCATTACACTGTGATTTCTTCATCTTTGCACAGGCTCARTGTGTATATCAATATTTGCACCTCAATTTTATCCAATGTTACAACAGAGGGTTTTTCTGCATTCAAGATCTGATCAAATAGAATTAGGTCCCTGCTCGTCCTTTCTCCAGAACTATCATGAGCAGTCCCAGCTGCATCAAGCATACCCTTGTGTTGGGAAATCCAGCCTTGCCAGAATAAGGTAGTCCGTTTAAATGGAAGGTATGCCAGCAGGCATGCATCTAGTAGTGGGGATCACAGTCTTCCACCAAGCTGTCTGTGATGTAGCTGGCTTCCAGGACTGTTTCATAGTATCTTTTCTCTGCAAATGTGTTCACTGTCCAGGCAACCACTTGAATTCCTTTTGAAGACCAGYGCCTCACATAGTCTCTGTATAGAATAAATAAACTGTAAGCTAGATACTACCCTATTTCATGCATACAGCACTCAAGCTAAAACTGCATTTTAGTTTTACATCAGTATTTCATCAAGAATTATTGCATGTCATCTTTTGCAGCAAAATACCCTTGAAGAGGCAAAATCAACACTATCCTTCAAGATAAAATTTAGGATCTAACAGAAGGTAAAAATACAGATTGAAAAGACAGGCTTAAATGTAATGAATATAGATTGAAAAGAGAGAAGTATAAATGTAATGAAACTAACTCTGTAAACTTGATTACACAATACTAACTGGAGCACCCTGATAAACAGGTGCTATTTCAGCTTCAGCTTCACGTGTTAGTAGAAATGGTATTGTCTTCTGATACATTAGCAAGCTTTAAACACTTACTGAGAAACAAAATTCTTCTGTATAAGGAAAGCTGAAACCCCACATAATCGCCACAAGAAACTGTGTAGGCTCCAATCTAGAATGACATCCATCATCATATACCAGTAATGTTTCCAGAAGGCATCAAAACGGGCAGTCCCATTTCCAAGATGACTCAGTTGCCAGGGCCTGTGTGTTAGTGCTGTTACAACATTTTTATCAGCTTGTCTCATCTGGAAGATCAAGATGAAGACATTGTAGTTCACACAAATGCCAAGCTGCAGAGCTGCACTGAATATAAAGTGGGAGAGGTTAAATGCAAAGTGATAGCTTGAATCTGCAGCTCTATCCAAGTTTTCCCCTTTACAATCCTGGTCTTTTCCTAACTCTTTTTGAAAATTGATAATAATATTGTACTGGTTTTCTTTACTTTAAAATGTGCTGAATAAGTGACTGCTCTTATGTTAACAAGCAGAACAGTCAAACAACAGAATAAAATAGATAGTAAATGGATTTGACAACAAGAATTAGGAAACAGTTTCAAGAATAGTCTACCTATACTTCAAAATGTGAGACTTATTTAGATGTTGCACACAGACACCTGCCACACGCCAACTTTAACAGTGATAAACTTTTTTTTTTCAGAATGGGAATGTTGCTGTTGATTAATAATATGTGCAACTAAGGAGCCCAGAATCATTCACTAAGATGATGCAAGAGACTTATGATTTGTGCTTCTTTTATTTTCAGTCTTAACAGCCCAAACTAGTCTGGAATTTTAAGCTGTATATCTCACTGAAAATCTCAGCTAGAAATAAAAAAATTCAAAATAAGCTTTTAGGAAACGTTACCTTATAAACAACATCTGGCATGAAAGAACAGACTATGCTGTTGTTATACAAACGAGGAAACTCCAGGTAGAGTTGTTTTAGAGCTTGAACTGCCTGTCAATTAGAGATACACACAGGTGTAGCATATAAAATAATAAAGATTGATTACAAGTACCTCCCTTCAATATTTTAAACTGTAGAAGAATAGGATCCCTGCTTAGCTGTTACATAGTTCCCCTMAGTACAGGCAGACAATTCACATTGTTACACAGTGATAGCATGAGCCCAGCTCAACATTCATACAAGCCCCATTCTTAGTTGGGAATTGCTGCTTCCCAGAACATCAGAATGTGAGGAGTGAAGCCCAAAGATGGTTGTTTTTTTTTTTTTTTTTTTGGTCCAACTTTGGATGACGCAAGGCCCAATCTCCTTCCTACTGGAGAAGGGTCTGTACTATATTTTATCTAGTGACCAACAGCAGGCTAATGACCCAAAGCAAGGCTCAGTGAAGGTGACAACCCATAATAAGTAAGTGGTACCTGGTTTGCATGGCCTTTGACATCGAAGTAGATGATAAGATTGTGTTGCAGAGACTCCACAACAGCTTCTTTCAAAGTTGGTACTTTTTCACCCTGGAATTTGCTCCTGTTGAAATACACAACTTCTTACTGGAGTGCATAGACAAACAAATCCCTGAGTACATGGAGCTGTGTTCCAGGGATTCCTAAAAAAAGCTGGCAACTCTTCCACTATTAGGGACAGGGTCAAGCACCAACAGAAAAGGTAGCAGCAGTCTCACACAGTGCAAAGCTGCACATCTATAGCGATATATGCACAGCTTCTTTCCCCGCCAAATCCCACTAGACAGTCATACCCCTCCAAATTCAAGGTCTAACACAATGCATGCCAAGACAGTGTCTCACACTGAAATAATCTGAGATTTTCACTTACATATAATAAGTGAAGCATTCAGTCTCAACTATGGACCACCTACCCTCTCACTTCACCCTGCTTTGACAGTGCTCCTTAGCCCCGAGCTAGAAATGTACRTCTTGACAGAGTAAGGCAGACAAGCTGAGGATGTAGGAGAAAAAGCTGCATGCATCAGTAAGTTATTCCTGATAAAGTGACAGCCAGCAACAGTTGATCAGCATTAACTGCCTATGTAGAAGTTCTCACTGTGTGGTTCAGGAAATCTGGCCAGCTCCTTTTCAATATATAATCATCATGTAATGATTAGAAAACATRAAGTTGCCCATTGAAAGCAAAATTCCCAACACATAATCAGCCAAGAAATACATGTGAACAAAAATAATTTTACTCAACTACGCAAGTCAATTTTGGAACCTAGTGAAAATGACAGTATCTTACGTCCATTTATAGTCCCTTCTGCAGTCCATTTATAGGAAACTTATGTGCAGATTAACCTGACGCTCATTAGATGCCTATGGACTGTCAAAATTATCTTGACTCTACTGTTCTTGTTTCAGGAATGAGCAAATGTTACTAATATCAATTGAAGGGTAACAGACAGGACTCTCTTTTGAATTTGAAAAAAAAAATCACTAATAGATCAAAGTAGTCATTTTCTTTGTCATGGATGTTTGTTGCTGTTGAAACAATAGTCTCACTACAGCAATATGTCTTTTACCATAGTCTATGWTTTGCAGATGGATTAAGCCTCCTGACTTCATCAAAGGTCAAGTCGGACAGTCTTCCGGACCCATCAGTCGTCCTTTCTACTGTGTCATCGTGCATTAAAACAGGAACACCGTCCGCAGTGAACTCAAGATCCAGCTCAACTCCCGTTGCTCCATTCTCAGCTGCCTTGAAAAAAACAGAAACCACATATACAAAAGAAAAGACAGCTTTATAGAATTAGTAAAGATACTGCTATATTTAGTGTCTTTTCTGGGAAGAATATGAAACTATTCAATAAGTTCAAATATGAAACTATTCAATAAGTTCAGTCTGCAGACCTTAGGAAGTTTTATCAAGTTATTGGAAAACATATTTGTGTATCAACTGAAAAGATATTATCTCTCTTATACATAACATGCTAGTGATAATGTCTTAGCCATGGGGTTAGGATCAGAATAAAATAAAGCAGGAAACCTGCTCCCTCCTTCTTGTCCAATAACTCCTGAGTTCTTAAGTTGTGTTACTTCCTAAAAGGGATGGGTAGCAGTTTAGATAACTTGCACATTAATACTTGGAAGGCAACTACATGTTCTAAACCAATCATGGCCRACACTTTCATTAGAGCAGGCCACACAGCATAACGACTTTCCTTGCCAGCAGAAAGAGCTCTCAGCCTTCTTTTATGCAAAATAATATACTTCCTTTCATGGTCAAGATTCACCATGTTACAGTTGATCCACCCCAGAGAAGTACACATAAAATGCCCCAGAAGCATCGGTTATGATGCTTTTACTAAATACTAAATGCATGTAGGCAAATCCTAATTCCTGTTTAAGGATTTCCTATAAAAGAAATGCTTCCTCCTGCTTCCCATCCCTTTCCCAGAAAAGACTCCAGCAAGCACAGAATGAGCTGCAAGATGGCTTGGAAGGCCAGATGCCCTCCTGGAATCAAGAGCAGTGCCACAGAAAGACAAATGCACCAGATGCTACCATATAGTCAAGTAAGGATGCTCTGAGACTGGAACAGGGGCCTTCCCTCACCCAAAGGTAARGGGCCAGCAGATCTCCAGCATCTCATCACTGCAGATACACTACAGAGAGASACTGCTAACGTCTACTCCATATGGTCTCTAAAGAATATTTTCATTCTAATTGCTTGTCAGACTTARAGCAGCCTCTTAGAAACACGAAAGCTTCCCATGGGCTGTGTTAAATATTCCAAATGCTTTACAAGTTCAGAGTCATCTAGCTGTTTTTTTGTGGCTTGGATATACGAAGTAAAGTCTTTTTGGAATAAGTCCCAGGGACCCAGACATCTACTGTATGCAATCAATGTGATTTTGTCCAGTTTCCAGAAAAGGAAATTTCATGTTCTCTCTGCTGCCTGGGCAGTGAACTCGTCAGATTCCCAACTCTGATGCAACATGACAAGACAGGTGAGGTGGCTGGGCTGATCAAAGGAAAGTTCTTGCAATGCTGAGTTTTCCTTAGCTGTGGATTCTCAGAGCTCATTAGAGACCTTCAGAGAGATGACCTTGATACTAAGCTCCTGTGCTCCCTCTACAGTCTGCCGCCACACCTACAAAATAAAGTATTTCATTACTGCTACAGGGCCAGGCTGTGGCTCAGACACGGGCTGCAGGGCAGGGGGTGAGAACACCCACCCGGACACAGTTCACATTCAAAAGACCCCAAACCCATCAGTCCACGCTGGCTCCTCCTGCAAAGCAACATGGCAAAGCAGAGGCGGCCGGCGCCGGTTCAGAYGATGAGGGCTCGGCGCCTGCTGCAAAGACACATCAGCAAACACAACCCCAGACTTGTGTTACTTCAGCAGTGCGACCTGCTTCGGTGTCCGGGCCGCCAGGGCCAGAGGGGATCCGGCGGGGCCGGCTGCCGAGGCTGTCGGAAGAGCCTGCGCTTCCCGGGCTCTCCCCTGCCCTCCATCCTCCTCCCCAGCACGGGTAGCTCCGGGCGGCTGGGGCACGGAGCCGCCCCGGGGCCCGGCGGGCCCTGCTGACCTGTCGGATGGCCGCCAGCGTGTTCTCGGGCGCGTCGTGAGCGCCGCCGCGGTGGGCGATGCGGGCGGCGGCGCCGCGGGGCCGCACGATGCGCTGCGCCCGCTGCGGCGCCGCGGGCTCCAGGCTGAAGACGTGCAGCGCCAGGTAGAGGCCGGCCGAGAGCAGGCAGGCCAGCGCCGGGCTGCGGCTCAGCGCCAGCGCCGTGCCCAGCAGCACCGTGACGGTGCCCAGCAGGCCGTCGCCGTGGCACAGCATGGTGACCGGACCCGCACCGCACCGGACCCCAACGGCCACCGCCAACGGTCACTCAACCGCTAGCCCCACCGCTAACCCCCGCACAGCCCCTCTCGCTCGCCAGCCAATCRCCGTGCAGGACTCGCCAATCGCCCAATGGGGAGCGGCGGCGGGGCGGGGCGGGGCCGGCGCGCGGCGCGGCTGCGCGTGCGGCAGCGGCGGCGCCTGAGGCGGGAAGGCGGGAGCTCTGCTGAGGGAAATGCGGCTCGGTGCGGCGCGACTGGGCACGGTAGGAAACGGGCCGCCTTAGCCGAAGCACGGGCCCTGCTGCCCATACTGGCCCTGACAAGGGACCGGGGAGCATATGGCCTTTTTTTTTTTTTTTTTTTTTTTTTTTTTTTTTCCCAATTATGCTATCTAAGTAGAAGTACGACATTGTTTTCCAAGTTAGCATGCTTCCAGCTATGTCAGTGTCAGCTGTTTTAACTGCCTCTTCAACCCTTTCACAGACTAAACATGAGGCTTGGTATTGTAAAAGAAAAAAAAAAAAAAACCTCCCCAAGGAAAAAAAAAAAGGCCAAGAGAGCTAAAGAGCAACCTAAGAGATGGGAACAGCCTTTGCTGGGGAGTAAGGTTCACTTCTGCCCCTTGTAAAGAAAATGTGATCCACTGGACAAAAGAGCAACGAGATAAGAAGCTGCAAAGGTTAAAGAAAATCCAACTTGTTTAGTCTGGGGAAGAAARAAAGAAAAGCTAAACAGAGATAGAGAAGATCAACTTGAACAAGAAGAGGGTTGAATTTTTCTAATGGATAGAATGGGAAGAAACTGCAGCAAGGGAGGTTTAGTGACTAGAGGTGGAACAGGCTGCTCAACTGGAATTACTTAAAAATAACACTGTCACATGTTTTAGCTGATACTAAGTGTGATTCCATCTGATAAAATACCAAACTGCTGCCATTCYCTGCTGCCTCTGTGCTTCTGGCAGCTATACTATGAGAAAAATCAGACACAAAACAAATAATGGAATATCCAATTAGACCTCTTAGGTTTTTATAAATCTTTTGATAAATTCTGTAAGATTTGAAATATGGTGTTTTATAAGGTGTAACAGATAAAAAATATTATTGAAACAAAAATGCRGCTTTATTTTCCCTAAAGGCTCGCAGAACTCGGTGTTGTTAGGAACGCGAGTCGGCCTGGCCTCAGTGGGGCAGGTGAAGGGGCAGCTCTCCTCCGCCTGCCTCCTGCTTCGCCGCCCGGGGCCTGGAAGTGCCAGGAGGGATCCGGTGTCCCGGACACCAGCTGCTGTCTCCATAGGCCGCATTAACAAGTTCTCGTGTTTTATCTCTGTTATCTCAGAGAAACGGATACCCGCTGGCACGCTTGCAGCCCGGCCTGTGGAGGATGTTGAACGGGGCACGGGAGCGGGGAGCTCCCCAGGGCTCGCCGGGACAAGGCGGGAGGCCAGGACCCGGCGGTGGGAAGCGCTGGGGATGGGCACGCTCCTCTGGAAATGGAGCCGCCCTTGTCTGGAGTCCGTCGGCAGTTGCGGATTCGTGCTGCAGGTCCCCGTTATGTGAAAGCACTGTTCGCAGAGCGAGCTCCTTGCTCTCCTCGGACAAACGCAGAATTCTTGCGAATTCCCCGGGCGCTGTCTCCGCGCGCCAGCCCCGCCTCACCCGCGCTCTCCGCCCTCCGCCGCGCGGGACTACCGCTCCCGGCATGCCCTGCGTCCTGCGGCGGCGGCGGAGTGCGGCGCGGCGCCGCGGTGCACGCTGGGGCTCGTAGTTCTCGCAGCCGCCGCTCCCCGGAAGGGCCGCGGGGCGGGGCGGTTGCCAGGCGGCGGCGGCCGCGGTCGCGGTCCCGGCGGGGAGGCGAGTGGTGCGCGGGGGCCTCCGCGCCCCGCGCAGGTAGCGGCGGCGCCGGGTGCGATGGGGGAGCGCGGGGGCCGCGGCTGGGCGTGCTGAGAGACCGAACCGAACGCGCCGAGCCGCCCGGGCCGGCCCGCGCTGTGGGGAACAAAGCGGCGGAGGCCTCGTCGCGGCGCCGCGGCCGGGGTGGCAGCGGTTGGGCCGGGCCGGGCGGCTCCTCCGAGGCGGCCGCTCTGTGGTGGTTGTTGGTTTCCGGGAAGCCCGGGGTCCTGCCCGGGCGGGAGCGCGTCCCGGGGAGGCAGCTTCTCCAGCGCCAGGGCCGCTCTTGCTTTGAGAGGCCGTGGCTCTTCTTTAAAAAAGTAAAAATAAATGTGTGGTGTGTGTGCGCGTATATATTATATATACACACCGATGCACACGCGCATACATTTTGCTGCTTTTTTCCCTAGGAAAAACAAAAGTCTCTCTGGTAGTGGGGGTTGGCTTTAAAGGTTTCCTCTTTGATGGATCTTTTGGGAATTCTCCATGGTTCCTGTAGTTCTATAAGTCTTGGTTATCTTAGTGCTGCTTTCCCCCGTGTGCATGTGATGCAAGTTTTTTTTTTTTTTATCCTAACAGCTGCCTCCAGATTTTCTATTTATAAGAAACAGCTTTGCAGCTTTTATTAGTTTTAGAAAAAGAGAGACTGAATTGCCTAACATATAATTGGTTTCTAGATATAGAGATAGAGAAGAAAGAGCTTTGAATTGGTTGTTGCTCCTTCCCTTTGTGGTCCTGCTTGTACAGTAGCAAGATCTTATCACTCCGTGCAGCTTCATCCCATAAAGATGGAGGACTATGAAAAGTTTTGTAAGAAGCATTTCTCCAGAATCCAAGAAGAGGCTATGAAAAGAGAACCCTCTTGCAGTCCTCATAAAAATATCTCACTCATCCAGTTCCATGGAGTTCCTGTGCTTTCCCCTCTGGTGAGTGGGTTTTGCTTGGTTTTGTGTGTGTGCCTCCTAATTACTCGACATCAGTGCTAACTTTGATGTCTGAGGTGTATATATATGTCGCAAGTTGACAGTGGAATTAGCAAATATTGAGATAGCTAAAGATCTTTTAAGTAAATTTACTGTTCTGAACATTCGCAGCGTTCTCTCATCTTTTTCATGTGCTCATCAATTGTGTTGTCATTCTATGCTTATGCTAAACAGAGCTCCCCAAAATGGCAAAAAAGTAATATCGCTTAAAAAGAGACTGGCATTTAAAGTGTACAAAGTATCAGTGAAGTTAATTGTGATATTTGTTGGGTTTTCTTCTTTGTAATTTATTTCTATAATTCTGTATTGAAATTGGCATTTAGTAATACAAATCATGCTTCTGACACTACTTTGCAGCTTAGCCTTGAAAAGAAAAAGGAAATACAGGAAGACAAGCAAAAAGCACTGGACTTAGAGATCTGGAGACAGAACTCCAAGAAAAGAGCTTTACTGAATCGTGTTCAGGAGATTATAGAAAATGTTCAGGTAAAGTTCACCCGGGTCTGTATAGCTTTAGAGAAACGTGCATATGTATATCTTGAGAAAGCACTGAAGTTTAAGTATTCATTGGTATAAAATGAAGTGCTTAACAGTTAACTTCCCCAGAACCAGTGTTTGCTACTGTTTCATGCTACACAACCTTATTCATAATTTAGCAGCACCCTGTGTGTTCACTGTTAAGTATGGAATTTGCTTTCCACTGCTTGTTTTGACAGATTACACCAAAAGACTGGCTTTGGCTTTTGTAACTCTGTTTGAAATATCTAGATTGTAAAACAAACATACAAACAAAACACCCTGTCCAGTGTTAAAGCAACTAGTTTACTTTATTTGCAAGTGTGTAGCTGAATTGGAAAACGATCTATATTGAAGTATACAATTACAGAAGTAAAATTACCTTTGCAATGACTTGTTGCAATGACTTACCTTTACACAACTTCTGCTATGCCCTTTATTATTGTTTTGTTTCCTTTACTTTTTCAATTATGGCATTAGAGGTTTAAATTAAAGAGTATTAAATGCATCCAACTAAATAGTATAATCTGGTTTTGTAACAGAGCCGTGATACAGCTTTTATACTAAACTATTTATTAAACAAATACAGTTAACACAGCTGAGTTACTAAGGTGGCAGACAAGTGCCAGTTTGTGCTGTTTACTAGAGCGAACATGGCAACAGTCATCTGACTGGGGATTTGAAGAGCAGACTAGGAACATATGTTGAATATAAAAATAAGTTAGCTTTTTTCCTTTTTTTTCCCCTCTCCTCAAGAATGGCCCCTTGATAATTGAGGTGTTGTCTCATAGGATAATCTTTATTTTTTAGTGTGGAAATATTTATGATCAAATGCTTGCTAGAAGTGATGAAAACTCATAACTCTGGGTTAAGTGAGGAAATGGAAAAATGTTCTTATAGTTCCATGAATTTCACTAGGGCTTATTTTGATTTGTTCTTAATTAAGCACTAGGTTAAGCTRTATTCAGTGCCAGAGCTTTTCAATTATTCATCTTTAATAAATTAAGAAAATATATATTTTAAGAGAAATCTTGCAAGATAATATTAAGTCATAGAAATATTCGAATATTTTCCAAGTTACTTTGTGACAAAAAGAATATATTTGAATTCAGATCATTGGTATCATTTAAGTCTGAGTGAATCGTTAATCAAATCAAACCATTAAAACTGTTAAACTATTACAACCATCAAACCATTAATCAAATTTTAGTTTCAATTACCTTTTCCTCATTTTAAAGGGTGCTGTTTTTGAATGAGGTCGTTAGCGCTGAACTGGGCATTTTCATTGGCTTTAAGGTGACAGCATTCTGCTTCAAGGGCAGGTGAAGCTCTGACAATAATCTGAAAATTAGAAGAGATTTTGCCTCAAATATGTGATATTATTCAATTTTTCTTTGTAGATCAAGAAAGCATCTAGTGTGAGTGAGTTGAACAAGTGGGAGGTTGAGAATGCTTGCCTTAATTCAGAATCAAAAGCTTTGACTGACTTTACACCTCTGTCAGATGCCAATTTGTCATGTCTTGCTGTGAAGAATCATTCCACAGAGCTTGAAAAGACGCCAGAAATGAAGCCATCAAATGCCACTGGGCAGGTGACATCCAGTGTGACAGAAATGGTTAAGGTTATAGAAGAAAATGCAAAGCAAACTGAGAGTCACTTCTCAAAAGACATACCTCGTGCAAAGGCTGTGTCTTCTGACAACGCAAGTGGTAAACTTGCTTCACAGGCTTTGCAAATCCCGGGGAGGCCAGGGCTGCCGCTCTCTGATGAGGAAGCCCAAGATCCCTATGCAATGAGTCTTCAGAACCTTCTGAAAAAATCTCGGGAGTATGTAGAGAAAGAACAAACCAGACGTAGCTCAAGAAGTAATTCCAAAAGGTGTGTGAATGAAAGTCATTCAGATAAAGAAAATGACGCAGTTAAAACAACTGACTCTGTGAAAGAGAGAGCAAAGCTTACAGGCAGGAGCTGTGCAGTGCTTGATAAACCCACTCTTAATAAGTCAAATGCAATTCTCCAAGGTGCCTCAACTCACACAAGTAACACGAGTATGCCAACTTTATCCAGTTTTTCTAAAGTGGATATACCTGTGAGAGTTGGAACACCACCACTGGTGGATTCAGATTCAGATGAAGAATTTAAAAATACTTCTACATTTGACCGTGACAGTAGCATTATCAGGAGCCTCACAGGCTCTTATGCCAAATTGCCGAGCCCTGAGCCAAGCATGAGCCCGAAAATGCACCGAAGGCGCCCAAGACCCTTATCGATGGGACACATAGTTATAAATAACCCTGTGAATGCTTATGAGCTGAGCCCAAAAGGGAAGGGAAGAGCAATGGACTTGATTTTGCAAGATATTGCTGATAAAAATAATGTCTCTGAATCGGTGCCAAAGTTAATGGTGGATCTTGCTGTGCTTTGCCCTGGCAAAGGTCCTGGTGTCCACAGGAATTCTTCAGATGCCTGTGATGGGTTGGTGGCTGGCAAATCCCATCGACATTCCTTTGGACACCTGGAGAGCAAAGGAATGTTGTCTGCTACAGTGGAAGGACAGGTAGTGCTGGATGGCAGAGGACAGTATAAAGTAGAGACTAGTACTAATATTGTAGCTCCAAAATTGCAAGAGCCGCTCGCAGTCAGCCAGTCCGTGGTCACTCAGAAGATCCTAGCTGTGAATGAAGCCCAACCACCTAATTTGCTAGAACATACTAAATGTAATTCTCCAGTAGAACTTAATAAATCTTACGATGTTGAAAATCCATCCCCGCTACTAATGCAAAGCAAGAATAAGCGACAGCAGATGGATACTCCAAATGTTTCCCTAGCAAATGAACAGTTTCTGGAAAATGGTTTTGAAAAGGTAAAACGTAGACTTGATTTGGATACTGAAAACTCCCAGAAAGAAAACAGTTCCTGTGTGTTAGCAGTTGGAATGGAAGAACAGGAGAAGCAGTGGTTGCAAGAACAGAAATACCCTGTGGGATCAATTTACATTACCAAGAATGTAGTTCCTGATGGTATTGCAAAAGGTAAAAGATTCTCTTACTTTTTTTTTAAACTTATTTCTCCATTTAGTAAACAATCACTGTTACAAATGTTATACTCACTGGTGGTTCTAAGTATGTGTATATTGAAAGATAGACGTTCTGTTTATGTTGATTACCTTTTCCAGTAACCTCATTTTTTACTGTAGTTTTTAATTAATGACATAGATAAAGAAAATGTRGAAAACGTTGCAATGTCTGATTCTTCCTAATGTATATTTCTTCTCAGAAGAGATTTTAAAAACAAAAATGTTGGCCTTTGAAGAAATGAGGAAGAGACTTGAAGAGCAGCATGCCCAGCAACTATCMATTCTGATAGCTGAACAAGAGAGAGAACAGGAGAAATTGCAGAAGGTAAGGCAACAAGAAGAAGAATTCTGAGCAGAAATAATGTATTTTATTGTAGGTTGTCATGAAGTAATTGCTTTTGCAATAAATATTTTATTACTCTATGGAATTAGAAAACCAATTTTATAGCCAATTTCTTCTTTTTCAGGAATTAGAAGAGCAGGAAAGAAAGCTGAAAGGAAAGAATRTTACTACCACAGAAATAGAAATTTCCAAAGTGAATATTAACAGTAGGATGGAGTTGGAGTGGAGAAAAAAAAGCGAAAATGGCTTTCCAGAAAGTATGCAGTCTCAGATGGAAACAGTCCATAATGCAAACTCTACCAGCATGGGTAAAAATGGGAGGACAGAACAGAGATTAAATGCTGCTGTTCTTGCTCTGCAATGTTCAGCRGGGTCAGCTGCCTCACTGTAATGATAACGGCAGTGCTCCTGTCTGCGTCTGCTTGTCAGTCTATTCTGGCCTCTGCCACTTTCTGCTCTTGGCAGCTCGTGTAAAACAAATCTTTGTCTACTTGGCATTTGCATGTTTTCAGTTATGTTTGTGCTAGCCCCTCTATTACACCTGTGTGTATAATTATTTTAGGGCATACCTGAAGAAAACAAGATAAAAGTAAACTGATATGGTCAAGGACGAGGACATAGATTTAGCTCATGTCACAGAACATTCATCTGTGTAGCTGCATAGTAATGAACTAAGTGCTCTAAGTACTAAGTTTGTATAGGAGGATTAAAAGCACTCAGCCAGTGGCTCTCCACTGAGAGGGAAATACAGCTCCCACTGAACATGTCTCACCTGATCCGGAGCATTATGAAATAGTGTGATTTGTCTTCTGTTTAGTCAGTTTTGCTCTGAAGTGGATCAGAAGTAATTCGGTTGCTTGTTGTCTGTAATTGACTTGAGTTGTATTGCTTGACTATATTAATGTAGGCAGACTTAGTACTTCCTATCAGATATAGATAGAAATTTGATGCTTTAGCAGGCAAAAGGTAAAAAGAACTTTGCTTGAGAGTAAAACTGCTGAATTCTACAAACTCATACTTTATTCATCTTTAGAATCCATATTAAAGCCACTTTCTTGAGATGCTCTGTGAGTAAGATTTTGTGTAGCTGTTTCATAATAGTGGGAAGGTGATCTACTTGACACTTTCAATTTGTAGCATATGGGCTTTCCCCCCGACATACAAGTATTATAACACATTATAAATACTTATAATCTTCCCTGATAAGTAATAATAAAAGTACTAGAATATACAAGCCCCAAAAGGCTTCCTGTCTGAAACCAGAGTTAAAATAGAGTTAAAATAGAAGTCTGTATCTGCCTGATGCTTTTTTTTTTTTTTTTTTGTATGTGTGTGTAGTATTGTATCACATCTATTTTCTTAAGCAAGTGTAATGGTCATGTATGTGTACACACACACACACACAAATATATATTTATACATCTATTTATGTATATACATAGAAATATAGTTGTTTTACGGACAAAAGTTAGTGTGTTGAACAGTAYGTTCTCTTTTGCATACAGGTTTTGCTCATACTACACCAAGCACCTTTGCTTCAACAAGTGAAACTTCATTCTTCCTCTGGGGCCCATCAGGTAGTGGAGTTATAAAAACATCAGTATCCAGGCCAAGTAACAGAATCAAAACTAGGTGGACTCAGGTAGGCAAAAATAAGGTTTACTTATAGCTGAAGAAGCTGTATTGTTTTATGTGCAACTGTATAATAGCTGTGCCAGAGTAAATCTCACAAAAAAAAGTTCCTGTATCAACTTAGATTATACAAGAGAAGTGTATGTGTATATCTGTGTCTTGTCTAATCTAAGCATATATGCACACACAATACATATTTCATATATTTTTTGTTATTCATATGAGCAAATATRTAACATTATATTACTTCGGATAAATTAATTTTGTAATGCTATAGCGGATATCTTTGGCCTAGCTGGTTTTTACACCTATCAACAAGTTGTTTCGGATGTGAAAGATATGTCATGTCATTGATACTTTTGAGAAATAATCCATAACTTCTCTACAGAGTATAGGATATAGAAACAATTTTCTTTCTTTTAAGGTTTTCAGTCCAGATATACAAATAAAGTTCAATAAGATCACTGCTGTGGCCAAGGGCTTTCTCACTCGTAGACTCATGCAGACAGAAAAATTGAAATATCTCAAGCAAACTGTCAAGGTAAGGAGATCAGTATTTTTACATTATCCTTGCTCCTATCTTCAACCGACAGAGGAATTAATGCATTTTCTGCAAAGTATAAATTCAGCGTTCTGGAGAACTTAGGCACATGTCRTGTGAACGTGTTCAGGTATTGCATTGCTCAGTAACAAGACCAATTATCAAGCCCGAGGCCAGTGAAGAAAACTTGTACTACTTGTACAAATAGTTGTAACGATTACTTTGTTGCAAAGTATTATGCTGAATGCTTAACATTATTTTCTTCTCTTCTCCAGGATACTATGGAGTTCATAAGAAATTTTCAGTCAGAAGCCCCATTAAAAAGGGGAAGTGTTTCAGCACAGGATGCATCCCTCCATGAACGAGTAATGGCTCAGGTGATATAATTTAAACCTTTTTTTTTTTTTTTTCCCCCTACTCCAGCTATTCTGATTTTGTAAGAGGAAGTTATTTGGAGATGTATTATAAGATAAATAMCTAAAACCTTTAAAATGACTTTATTTACAGTAAAAAAAAAATCAAGTGTGGYTGTGAGAAAAATATTCCATTTTTGTTTTATCATATTTATGTGGATTTCAGAATTATCTATTCAAGTATTTTGTTTAGAATGAAAACGAGAATAACTTGATAATCAAAAACATATGAAATTTAACTCAGATCAACACTTTATTAATTTTTTTATTCTTTTTTCAGCTAAGAGCTGCCCTTTTTGACATTCATGACATTTTTTTTATAATGGAGCCATCTGAAAGAATGAATATTCTGCATCATGATCGTGAAGTTCGTAAAGAGAAGATGCTCAGGCAAATGGTGTGTTATAACTTTGAGATGAGTTTTAGATAYTGAACTATTATTGCTTTTAAAGGATTTATGACCCAGTAACAAATTTAAAAGTTTAATTACTGTTTGTGCTCTGTGTACTACCATATAGTGGTGGTAGAAATGTATAAAAATAGCATGCGGAAAGCAGTAGAATAATTCAGATTTTAAATTAAGGCTTCTTTGTGACACAAACCTGAAAGTAGCCCAAATGTAAATTTTTTACTGAATATGAATAGGGTTAGATGGGCTTAAGTTCACCAAAAAGAGTAGATAACGTTGTATGTTCTTTTGCTTTTTTTTTAGGATAAAGTAAAGAGTCCAAGAGAGAGAGCAACACTTTCAACAGCTACACAAAAATCTCTGGATAGGAAAAAGTATATGAAGTATGTGCGGTTCTTTGGGGGGTGGGTGTATGAAATAGGATGGTTAGGAGCAGTTGCAAGGTGTGAAACAAAGTTTCTGGTAAAACAACTCTACAAACCAGCATTCTTCTTAGGAAGAGTGAATGAAACCTTCCTTCAGGTGTCTGGTGTGTTACTATTTTTAGTAGTACTTTTTGTTACAGATRTTATCCCTACAGATGCAAAAAAGTGTTTGTTCTAAGATGCTGTATTTAACTGATGAGCAAAATGATCCTTGTGCACCTAGTTTATGATTAATTTTGTAAATTAAGTGCTCCAAGTTCTTTCTTCAGTTGTGCCAAAGTTTCTGACACTAGGGATAGCACTTCAGSCAGAGATAACACTGCTCTCTTGGATAATGGCAGACAATATTCTGCAACATAGGGAGAAAACAATTGTTTAGTTACTCATAAGTAAAATGGTAATTTGTGAAATTCTGGCAGTAGATACTCTCAGAAGTATTCTCTTACAAATGCTGTTTGAAGACCTGCCTGATGATTTTATACTTTAAATGCATTTCAATATCTTTGTTTATCTAGGGCTTCAGAAATGGGAATGCCAAGTAAAAAAATAATCATAAAACAAAAAACTCCTGAAAGCCGGTGAGTGAAAATTTGAGTGCTGCTGTCTTGTGGGTGAAGTGTCAATACTGCTTTCTGCTATAACAGATATCTGGCGTCCCTTAAACACAGTTTTTATTTTGCACTTGCCCAAAAGTTTTGAATATGTGTTATCTACTAATACATTTTATTTTTCAATGATTAGTTTAAATTATCTGTTTCCCTTTGCCTTTCCTTATGTAAGTCCTTTTTTCCTTTGTTAATGACTAAGAACCTGAGGCACTTTGGGGAGAATAGTTTCCTGGGTAATCCTTTGTTTCTTTGCTTTAAATAGAATAACTAGAAAATGTAGTAGTTCTATTCTAGACTCTTAATTCCTGCTGCTTTTGCCTACATGTCATCTGCATTGCAGAGCCTGTTAGTCTTACTGACTTTATTATGTGAAAGACTATGCATAATTCAGCATACTTGTGAGTCTTTTATAAAAAGAAGGGGGAAGACACTAACAGAAGTTTGTATTTTAACAGAGTACTTCAGCCGAATCAAGGACAGAATGCCCCAGTTCACAGACTGCTTTGCAGACAAGGGTAAGAGCACAATGTGTTCGTAACTTAAAGATAAGAGTGAATGCAGAAGCCCAGTAATTTCTGAATCATATTTATATGGTGCAACTGTTGTTCAAAGGCAAATAATTATTTTTATGGTATTTTGGGGTAGTGCTTAGGCTTTTTATTTTACTTGATAYTATAAGAAAATATTAAGTGTTTTCATCCTTCTGTGTATTGTCTTCATTTACATTTTGTTCCAACATTTGTGTAACATTCATTTTCCATAGACCGTTGCTTCTACTTAATGAAATATATATAAAAATATAAGCAGAAACTCTGTGATACCATAGTATCTGAATTGAATAAGTTTCTTGCTTAGAGTATTAAAAATGTGTGTATAGAGGACATATTATTTTATTTAATGTTTCTATGTAAGCCTTAATATTGTTAATAGGATTTGTACACATATTCARAAAGAGGCTGTTTGGGATATAGTAAAAGTGTTTTCATACCAAAACCAATTTGATAGTGTCATTATGTTTTTGGATACAGCCTTTCGACTTTGATGCAAGTGACTTTTTAACTCTTTTATATTTAATTAGAACCCCTAAGACCTCAGTGAAGGGGGTTGAGCAAAATAGAAAGAAGGCCTCAGAAAGCAGAGTGTCTAACAAGGCTGTTTCAGGTGTGTAGAAAACTGGTGCTTGGATCTTATAGTAAATAAGTTACTAGTATTAAGAACAATTAAATGTGGGATATATTGTTTTCTTTTTCTTGTGCACCTGCTTTGCTATGTCCTAAGTCTAACCTATCTCTTTAAATATGCACTGATAACTGTCCACTTTCAGATTCTATAAATGTAAATGTTTAGCTCATTTATTTGCATTCGCTCAATGCTCAAGCATAAAAAAATAAAAAGTTGCCAGGTGTACTCGCTCTAAACTGGACTTGGGTTACAATCCCAACATTATTGGATTGTTCGATCTCTACAYGTGTGCGACTTGTCTTCAGAAAGAAGACTATAAAAAAGGACAGGAAGGACAGTTCTAGAGCATTTACCAATGGGCATACAGTCCTAGCGTATTTGCAATAGCATCATTCAAGAATGTTTTGAGTTTTAATGGTCTACTGGTTACCCTTTCATTTAAAAGATTTGGGAATAGTGATAAACCTCTCTCTTTTCATCCTGCTAAGTCGTAAAATGAGCAAATCTCTATGAGACATTTTATGCACTTTCCATTTTTTAAATGGATTTTAAACATTTTTAAGAGATAGAAGTCACATTATCTTTTGGTATGTTAATGTTTGTACTTCAGAAAATTAAGATCTAAATTATACTTTCTCAAAGGGCATTTATACAAGTTGAGCAAAAAAAAAGTGGAAATAATAAGGCTCAAGTAGAAATGCTGTAACATAGTAGATTTTCAGCTGCTTTCCATAGTGATCTAAATTATGTATAAACTATCAAACCTTTCCTGTATGGGAAATTCTGCATTTATTTTGGGCCTGTAACAGCGCTAAGGACCATATCTGTGAGCTTCAGTGGAGAATTTACACTACTTAGTAGGACCAGATAAGTGTTTGTTTTACCAGAAATGTTTGTTTTGTACCTTGTGAACCCAGCAGAAGCATTCGTAGTTGTGCAGAGTAGGAAACCACACATCAAGAAACCTGTAACGTTTCAGTTAAAAGAGTCTGGGGAGAGAGGAACAAGAGAGGAGGGGAAAAAGTAAATGATGAGGATACAAATAAGGGTTATTTYTCTCCTTTCTGATGCCAATTTTCCTGTTAGTGCTGTCACCACTAAGACAGAGCCTGGCAATACTCAGTTACCCACAGTGACAGTATAGAAAAATAAGCAGAAAGATCTTTAAAATGTAATAGAATGCAATATAATTGCATTCTACAACAGGAACTAACCATTAAGACACATTTTTATCTGACAGTTTGCAGAAGTGTTTTAACTAACCAGATAACTGAGGGAAGTTCTGAAGAACACAGATTACCAAACAATCAAGYTCTCTTCTAATTACACTATTACAGAAGCTGCAAAATTATTATGGTGCATAGGTGGCATCAGCATATAATTGATGTTCAGCCAGCAATAGTCTTATGTTTTGCACAGTGTTGTGGAATTACATCTGGCATCAAATCAAATTTAGACTACCCTGTCATTCGGCTGCGTTGGTAGTGTGGGCTGTTTTGCTATTGAAGTCGTAATAGTCGATACCTGTCAATGAAAAGACCCTATTGGAATATGGCTCTAAATTTCTCTTCGCCTTTTCTTATGGCTATTTATTTAATTTTTGGAAAACTTWAGTATCTTCTACTGTGACTTTATTGAAACTTAAGGATGACATATCTAACCTGTTACCTGCTGTCTGGTTTTGGCTGCATGGCATAACTTCAGCTAGTGTTTGGACATCACATAAGGCATAATACCAGTACTTCCACATGCTTGCTTATGCATAGGTCAGAATACTTGTACTAAGTTAATAACTGAAGTAATTAAATGGGGAGCATTGTCTAGACAGGAAAAAAAAATGATCTGCATAATAATGTGACAATGAAAAATATCTCAGATTGGATGAATTTAATTAGAATGTGGTTTTGTTCATGTATAGATAAAATGTGTATAGTGAAAGGTTTAGTAATATGTGAAATATTGGAATACGTTTTTTTTTATTTGATTTTTTTTTTGTTAGTCATTTTAAAAGTCTGTTTTTGAGCAACAAATCTCTTTTCAAGAAAAGTCCCTCAAAGTCATCAATGGTGAGGTGAAAATTTCTGCCTAGGAAAGACCAGGGACAGAAACTAATCTCAAGTCAATATGGAAAAAAAAAATCAATAATGCTAAAAAGAAAAAAATACTAAAAGCCAAATGAATGCATTTCCTTTTCTTGGTTTAGTAGAACTTGTGCATGACAGAAAATAAGACTTGTAGCAGTTGATTGCTTTAGGCAGTATAAATATTCATTTGTTTTCATAACTATCCTAGTCTGCTGTCCTTCTAATCTAGGTTTATTAGAGGGCAATAAGGAGGAAGGATTAATACGCAACTATTGCAAGTGTTACTTGTCCATTCAAGCTACACATTAGACAAACCCTCAGAAGAAAATGTCATACCTGTCCAGCTACTTCTTTTTCTTTTCCATTTTCTGACTTACTTGAAATTCTGCCCCCCAAATGCTTTAACGTGGAGTGCACATGACCAGAGCTGAGCCCAGTGTTCAGTCACTGATAAGGTCTCGTGCCTGTCGGTGCGGTGGCTTTGCCRTGCGGCAGCGCAGGAGAGCCGGCGCGCGCGGCGCTGCCAAGGACTGGCCCGGCAACATGGCCTTTTGTGCAGTGATACAGTCCTCACATATGAGGGATCCTGCCCTGGGAAAGGCCTCTGGGGGCTCTTCCCAAAACTGCTCGGCACTGGGCTTRGCATAGACGCTCCTGAGCACCTGCAAGTAACCGCTGCAACTGTCTCATCAAAGGAGTCAAAATCCTGAAAATCCTAAAAACCACCAGCACTTCCTGCCGTTCACTTACTTGCCTGGTTTCTTTTCCATAGCTCTCTTCCATTAACCCCACTCTGCTCCATGCTGCATGATCTTCACTGCTTTGTGTTTGCTCACGTTGCTGCACACTGAATAATAATCCCCTATGGAGTACTGAGTTGTGTGATGTTTTAGCAGCCTGCAGTGCTAAAACCCTTATTCCTGGATGGTATTTGTGCTCTGCATAGGGTAGAGCACTATGACTTTCTAAAAATGTATAAAATAAATGTATTTATATGTGTATATAGATATTTTTTTCTTATGGTGGGAACACACTTCTTTTACAGCTGTCCTTCCGTAAGGGCTCTGTGATTGCCTTATCCATACTTATCTTTAATTCTGATTACATAGGGAATGTAAAGGAATGTCCCTTCGACATAGGGAAACCTACAGTAGTTCACTGAAAAAGACAGTTCAGTTGTAGCAGGATTTGAGTGTTCTCTGGCATATATTTTTGACCTTTTTCAGTTCAAGTCTTTTGCTTGTCTATATGTTGGACAGTTAGATAAGTGTTAAGCTGTAGTTATGCGACTGCGTCACTGATAGTTAACCACCAGTACTCACAGCTATAGCTGGGATCTACCTGATGCTGTGCAGGGTGCTCTACGTGAACAGCTCCAGTGCTAGCCCTCTTGAAGAGGCTTTGGCAAGTGGAGATTTTAGGATGGGGCAGAGAGTGCAGGAATTGTCTGTGTGTCCTGTGCCTTGCAGAAAGGCCAAGCTTCGGCATGGCAGCGCATGTCCTTTTCCCACGAGCGTTGGCTGCCTCCCTGCTCCCTTCTCCACTCCACAGCTCTTTCAGCAAGGAGCCTGGTTGCAGGGTGATGGGCAGAGTTGCTCCTCCAGGGGAAGAGAAGAAACTATCAGCATGAACCTCTGCATTTTGTCCTTGGTCTAGCTGTTGCTTCCCTCTGGCTGGCTTTCTGAACTGAGGGAGGATCCATCAGAATGGAGACAGCCGATAAACGCACGGAACATCTGCTTGGAGAGAGATCTGTCTGTGTGGGGGTGGTTGCAAGGAGGAGTTTAGGCTCATACTCCAATAAAAACCCAAACAAACAGTGTAATCAAAAAGAGTTAAACACACAACCATACAATGTTCATCTACTATGCTTTGCATTATTCTTGCTCTGTCTCTGCCTTTCTTGATTTATTAACATGGGAGCTGGGGAAAAGGAAATGTGACTTTGTTTTTTTATTGATAGTTTTTAAAGTAGTATATGGTGTATATGGAATATCTAATACTATTTCTGCTATTTTAAAGTATTTAAAGTATATTTTAAAGTAACTATATAATTCACAAATGTTTAAAAGAAACAGTATTAAGACAGAAAATACAACAGATAAAACTAAATGGAGCAGTCATTGAAGAAGGGAATACTGTAATATGTAGTTATTGTCAAATATATTTGTAGCTTTAATAAGCGGGTCTTTTTTTTTTTTTGATAATTTGTTCAAAACAGAACAAAAAAACACAGTACTATCAATAATAAAAGGCTAATGTTTCTATTTAATTTTTAGGAGCATATGCAGGAAGAACCCAAAAAAAGAAGCCAAATGTTGTGACAATCTGAGAAGACAGCACTCACTGGGATAAAGGCTATTTTTTATTAATGGCATTCTCAGCATTGATTCAAATATTGCATCTCCTATACATATTTTATATATAGATAGATGGAAATGACACGCATACACTTTATTTAACAGCTCCAGCTGACAACATGTTAATACAGTCATATTGAAATAATGAAGGACTACAAAGCTCTAATACTTGTGGAAAATTGCATGTTAAAATCTATTATGTAGATTAATTTTATTGCCGTGCACAGATAAGATTCATAATATTGTGTTTTTTAAAGACGACCATAGGGTAACGTTAAGTTAATTTGTGACTTCTTTAYGCTTCTCTTACACTTCTATCTGTCATGTGCTTTTTGTATTACTTAAAGTTGCAATTTCTTTGTATGGCTGCCACCATAAATAAGGGAGGTGTGTGCCTGTTTAGTTGTATACCATAAAATGAGACCAGTTAAATAAGGGGAAAAAATAATTGCAACAAAACAGAGCTCTTCCATCAGTGAGTTTTAAGCAGCCTTTCTGAATGTACTTTACACATGTATGCACTTACCTCAATTCAGTTACTAATTGCCTACATTTGTTGTGTATTTCTGCTGATTTGGATAAACATGGACCAAACTGACTGCCGGACAGACAGATGTACTTTTGATGACTGTACTAAAGTTGCACCTTTATACATGGTAGATCAAAACACTGTGTCAGAAGCAGCCTAGGATGTTTTCCTTCCTTGCTGCCTGCTGAATTTTCATATGGAAATGGCTGTTTGGCCAAGATGGAGATAAGTATAAATCCTAGAAAAGTTTAAGGCAGCAAGTTTTCCAACAATTTTTTTACCACTTCAGATTTATAAATGATTTATCCATAGTAATAATGCAAGTATGTGATGTTTTGTTCATGACAGTCACACTTTTTCTGAGCAGTTTCTCTTCTACCATGAACTGACAGGCCCTTGTACAGAAATCRTGTTTCCTGATTTCAGGGTAAAAGCAAAGGAAAACCCCAAACCTGACAAAAAATACACTCCCATTTCCAAAATCTAACAGTAAAAAATCATGCTCGTATTTTGTCTTGATCTTTCTACTCATAAACCTCCAATTTAGGGGGAGCAGAATTTTGCAACTTCCTTAATGAATTCCAGGAGACAGGCTGTTAAGTGGAGAAGAGCTTGACTGCGTAAGTCTTTGCAGTGCTTATGACTTTGCTTTGTAACTAGTACTAGAGCAAGGATTGCTAAATGTGAAATAGATTATTTTCTTGTTTTTCCACTATAAATACTGCATGACACTTTAACTTCAGAGGCTTTGTAACATATTGACACTGGTATATGAGAAATAAGATTGACAAAAAATTTCACTGTGTTAAATATTAATAAAGAGGAACGTGAACAGGGGGATGAAGGCAATACCTTCAGGGGAAGCAGTAAATGCATGGGCTTGCCTGCAGAACTGTCTCTGTTCATCTGCAACTAAGTTTGTCTCCKGTTGCTAGCTGCATTGTAAAAACAAATGTTTTATACCATGTGGTAGGTTACCTGAATTGTGTACTTAGAAAAAGGCAAAAACACAGCTAAGCACCAGGAAGATTGTCACTGCCCAATGGCTCTTTTGGTTGGTTTTGAAGGTTTTGAGTAAGTAATTTACACTCGGTATTGTAAATTAAGAATTTATACTCGTGGAGACTTGTCTCCTTAATTTAAATCCTATTTTAAAATTTCCACAATACAAAAAATGCCTGAGATGAACTTCGTGCTTCCCTGTAGTCATAAAAAGGTCTCWCAGTCCTCAACTTCTCTTCGTTTGGGTACTCTATAAATTGAGGTAGAAAACATTTTAAGAGGGGAAAAAGTTAGTGACAAATGTAACCTGTGCTCACAGGTTATAAAACTTCAGTGTGCAATCAAGTTTGCTGTTGATATATAATTGTTAAGGATTGATGTTTTTAAAAAATCTTTTAATGTGCTGTGTGATTGTTAGCATAGATAATATGTTGGCGTAGAAGTAGGTTTAGTTTAAATGTTAGGAGAAAGGAATGCTTACCTTCTGTTTGGGATTGTCACCTAAACCTCTTTTACTTCAAGAATGTTTCCAATGTGTATAGTAAAACATGTAGCACATTTTTGTTAAGTGTTATGGGGCCTTTTTCTTGACAAGTGCCAGATTTTTTTTAATATACTTGTTTTTATTTATACATATTTAATTTTAACTCACTTCTTGTGTGGAATGTACTATCATAAAAGTCTATTTATTTTTGTACTTTATTTCATTTTCACCACTCTTGCTTTTTACATAAATATGCTGTGTAATAAACTTTTAATCTTTAAAAATTCTTGTTTTCTTTCCTTTTTTTTTTTTTTGACTTGAAAATCACATTAGTAGTGGCAAAATGCAGCCATACGCTGTGTGGCCTTCCCCCTCAAAATTCACATTCATGTTTGTCGATGCTGTTAAGCCATGACACAGCCCTGTTTCCCAGGGCCTGCTCTCCCGTTTTGAAATTCAGCTTTCTCCTCGACGAATGTGTATCACTCAGAATTTTCTTAGTGAATTTTCAACTTCCCCGTTTTGCTACATATTTTGTGCTTGTTTCAAAGTCGGAAACTAATGTGCTGGAGCTACTACCGACTTGCACTATACGAACACGAGAGKCCGAGGCCGTGTCCGTGCGGTCACTTGAGGCGGATTTCCGCGGCGGGCAGAGGCGCAGGTGCGAGGCGCGAGCCGCCGCCATAAACGCGAGGCCGCTCCAGCTGCGGGCGCCCTCGTCCCGCCGCCGCTCCAGCTGCCGCCCCTTCCCGCGCTCCGGAGAGTTTCACATGAGCGAAACGGCGTCGGGGCGGGGAGATGGCGGCGGGGCGGGAGGCCGAGCCCGCGGGGCGGGGAGATGGCGGCGGGGGCAGAGCCGCGCGCGGCGTCAGGTGACGGGCCGGCAAGATGGCTGCCTTCCCGTGGTGAGCCCGC